GCAGCACAAACAGAGCTTGGCATTGTTGTTGTGATGGTCGGCATGCCTAGTGACTGGAACCGTAATGCGCATGTGTGAAAAGTCTCCGTTTTCAGAGAAACTGCATATTGCAAGTTTACATGACAATGGAGACGCTGCCATTTCCAAAAAGTTGCACTCTGGAACCCGTTTTCAAAACGTTAAGTTTTCAGGCACCCAAAATGCAGCTGTCACCAAAATGCAACTAAAGTTTACCGTTTTCAGTTGAAATCGTTGTCGTATAAACAAGGCCTTAGAAACACTAGAGTCTTAAACATCTGGCAAAACATACAAATATACAAGATGACAAGTGTTTTCAAGGAGCAAAAGCAAAACCAGTGCTAAATAGAGCAACATAAGTACAAGAGTTACTGAAAATGAAAAAAGCAGACTGTGCCTGATAATCAATGTTATATTAAATATTATATAATGAAATAGATGGATAATGAGAAGAGGTGTTGCACATGATGTTGAGAAAATATTAAACAAGATATTGAAAAGTAGTAATATGCATCATATAAAGTAATAGTGCACCTAATGTTGGTGAATATTGTTGTCAGTCTTTGCCGCAGAGGCTATGGGTTCTAATGGGGAGTTCACGCCTGGCTCATAGGAGAAGTCTCAGCTGGTTACAGTTTGTAATCCTCAATGCAAGATGCCACTATATCCAACACACACTGCTCCTTTAAGGAATGGTTTGACATTTGGGGAACTATATTTGTTTACTTTCTTCTCCTCTTAGAGTTATGGTGTGTTCGCAGGGAATGCGATGTGAGCTTTATCCGCGGTGAGATTACAAAGTACATGCCTGAAAATTCTGTCTACATCTTAAAGTCTTACAGTCTTCTTATCATGGGGTTTTCAGGCACCCAGCACAAAATCCAAGGAAAATGTAATAATATGATAGTTTCTTGAGCTGTGTCTCGACTCAGAGGCTGCGGCCTTCGAAGGCAGCATTTGAAGACCAACTGCGTCACATCAGCACAACCAAGGCTGTCCTTTAAAATACGTCCAAGAAATGCAGCCCTCTTTACCAGAATTTGGAGGATGCAATGGATGAATCCTTCACGGCCCAGCCTATCACAAGATGCATTGTGCACTGGTGACGATTATATATTAAATTAAGTTGTGAGCTAGCTAACGGTTAACTGTTGTTAACAATACTATTAGCTAAAAGCACACAGCTTAAACAGTCTTAAGTTTATTTGAAAACGGTCCATCAGCCTGAAATAAATCAAATAGTGGTGTCTCCGATGGTGAATCATCTCCTCAAGTATTAAATAAAAATGAGCAGTCCTCTGCCTCTAGGCTCGGTCCCTAAATATACTGTGTATTTAACAATGTCTGGGTCCATGATTTGGGGCTAACTAACTTACTAGCTTACTCCTTCTGTCAAGCGCAGCTGGTTACTAGGTAACAGGAATGCCAACGGGTTGGGGCGAGAACAACTGGTGATGAAACCAGGAAATCCTCCACAGACCAGACCGTCCCATTTCAGAGAACGTTCAGTTTGGCTGATGGGCTCTTCAAAAGGACGTGGCCGACGTCGACCACGAGGGCCGCGTCCTCAAAGGCTGCAGCCCCTGAACTGAGACACAACTTTTGACAGAGTCCAGGAAGTCACTGAGTCACACCACGAAATAGTAACAGCACATGATCTAATGTAAAGTCACAATTATAGTGTGCCAGAAACCACAATATAGAGGTGCTGACACTTTGAACAAAGGCAAACTTTTTAATCTGATTCTAGTATTTACGCTGACCTAAGCTAAGCTAAGCTAATTAAGTTTACATCATGCCATCAGTAGGCTATCTTGTGCTTCCTACAGAACATTTCTGTCTATAAATAAAATTATATTTTTAATATCTAGGTCAGTGTATGTAATAAAGTGACCCATAAAGTGTGAAGTAAATTCCAGGTTCAGATATCATTTAATATCTGACCTTTCACAGCCTCCTTCAGATAGCAGAAACGATAAAACACAAACCAAAAATGGCCTGTGCAGTCATACTGTATTACTGTACTGTATTTAGGAATGAAGAATACCCATCATAAAAACTTTATGATTTTAGAAGTCATCATAGTAAAGACGTGACGCATCGATGTTATAAATGGTTCAGTAGCAGCAGGCTTAGCGAGGCGTGTCACTTGATAGGCTCTAATGGTGTTAGGTCGATGATGGTTACAGTAGGAGTGAGGTCATTCCTGGCTCCTGCAGCAGTGAGATACCCCGTCTGTGAATCTCAGCATTATGGTTAGAAATACTGATGACATACTGTACACAGACGCACAGACGCAGCATGCACAGCTGCAGCAAAGAATCCAAATACTAGAAGTTCTAACTGCAGCGTTATAGTGACACAGATACCGAATGTGCTACACAAACGGGCGCAGCTATTAATATGCACGCATGTTTATCATTTTCTCACAGAACAAACAACACAAACACTTAATGGACACAACCGGTCGACCTTGTTCAATAAAAACAAGGTTGTAAATAATTCATGCAACAACAATGCTCTGCTGCGGGCCTCGGGGTGCCGAAAGACGTGGGTCTGACAGGACTATTTATGGAGGGATTGGAGACAGCCGTGTATTTTCTGTAGCGTGAAGAACGAAGCTACACGAGGTATTTGACCAGGATATGATAGCACGTATGAAGGAGTTAAAGGGCAGCCATGTGTCTGAAAACATATAGTAGTGTTGTCTCCTGTCTCCTGTCTGTCTGTCTGTCTGTGTGGACCCTCGGATGGCCCCATCACATGGAGCAGCGGTCAATGACTTATCACGCATGCTAAGAAACACACGCTCAATTTCTGTCTTATTTTAACTCAGACGCAACGTAATTGTCCTTCGCATGGACAGATGCTGCTCTGTACAGGTTCAGTCTAAATACAGTCTGTTTCCATGATGACATAAATCTGTCAGAGTCTCACAGTGTGCCAGCTCATGTTATACCCTTCATATTATATATGACATATGCTTGATCTACCTGGATACAGCCTCAGCATGCACGTCCTGCTGCTGAGTTCGTCACTGGAAGAGTATCCCACATATGGTGATGTATGAAGGTTTTAAATGCTTACGTGTGAAGTTGATGGACTGATTTCATGATCAGTGGGCTTAAGTAATTCAGATATTATCAGTATGCTCATCGGCACCTTGGATCACCATAGTTAACACAACAGGTGGACATTCAGTCCAACCTCATCACATATCAATGTTTGGTCATTTGGTCATGGACCTTCCATGTCCAGATACAACGAAAGGTACCCTGGGTGTGTTGGTTGTTGACGTTCTGGGACGTGGTATCAACTTCTGCTTGTTACATACACTGATTTTCACAGGAACTTTATCGTTTACATACAGTCTCTTTCAAAACAAATGCACGTGGTTGGGTTTAGGAAAAAAGAACAGGCTTTAGAATCTTATGGGACACAAACACTGCTCTCCTGGGTGAAAGTCGTGTTTGTTGGACCCATCCACCACCTGTCTGTCCCAGTCTACTTGGACTTTCGCCGCTTTCACTTTTGTTCTTGTCCCGCCATGTTTCCCCCTGATATCACGCTGGATGTTAAACTGATACTTAGGTTTTGTTCAGCAAGATAATCTTTACAAATCAACACCACTTTTTTGATTATTGAGGCCTAAATGTGATAACCAGAAGTAAAAGCTAATGTTGGGCTATAAACAAACTACACCACAATTGCACAATTTAACACTGCCACTACAACAAGGATGTTCATTCGTGTTCGGTGTGATGACGTGCTGTAGTTTCATTTAGCATTTTATTAGCAACCATCTTTTTTAAGACACACTGAGGCTTCAAAATTAACAAGTGCGGTATTGACTGAGAAATTTTACAAAACATTAAAGTTTCTTAAACTTGTGTGAACAACAGACCTTATTTCAGGCATCTTACCAAAAACCTATTCAACAAACTGAATTCAAGACGAGGATACCGGAGGTGCAAAGACGCAAACTCATTTCCAGGTTTCAGGACTCATTTCGTCACCACTTTATGGAGAGCCCGAGGCATATTTGAGGATGTAGGTGCAAATTATATCCAAAGCAGAATCACACTGTGCATTCCAGTACCCATTCTACTGTACTATATACTACGCCAGAAAGATTTAGTATATCCCAATACTTACTTGGCTTTTAATTGAACTATACTGAATGTTGGAAAATACATGTTTTTTGTTTAAAAACTTTCTTTTAAAATTCTTTTCCATTAGTCTTTTCTTGGGGGGGGGGGGGGGGGGGGGGGGGGGGGGGGGGATGTGCATTCTATTTGTACGAAAACTAAAAGGACTTTTATTGGTTGCAGCCTATTGTTTACAGTGTGGTGTAAGTACTTTTACTCAAGTAGAGGATCTGAATACTTCCTCCACACTCATGACAGTTACATGGGAGGTCTGAAAAGGCCCTAGCCAAAGTCTGGCTCATTAAGACGTGTTTCTAATTCAGGTCACAATCCATCTGCACACTGAGCCTGTGGTTTTGTTCAGCTGGCAAATACTCAAGCTCAGATGCACTGGTGCAAGTAGTCTTGCTCTTTCCCAAAACCTGTACATTCAGAAACTTAAACTTTAGTCAGCACTGGTAACTGTGTATCAACTAATCACAGTCCCAGTGCCCCTGTTGGCAGCATTAGATAAGACCACGGCAACACAGTTGTATAAATAAGTGATGCTGTACGCAGGGAGAGGATTGACAAAAAAATGTTATTGCTCTCATTGGCAGGTTTTCAACCACCCAACTTGTCCAGAGCCTCAAACAGGTGGTGTGAAGCACTGCTTTATCTGTGCAACAGCTCCATCCTGTGGACTCTTTAGAACACTGCGTTTAAAACTAGGACACACGTTGCAAACAGGCACATGGATCAGCGCCACTTTTGTTTCCAACTTCTTCCCATAAATCTGTGATAAATTCCACTGTGTATTCCTCCACTTATAAAAAAGACAAATCATCCAACATATGATTTTAAATTAGATATTTAATAACTTGACAAAACACCACAGAGGCAACACCACACGGACAGAAGTTTGCTTTAGGTAATTCACATAGTTAAGACACCAACAGTGAGAAGGTTGACAGTTAAAATTATAGCAGCTGAGGCAAAAATGGAACAAACAGAGTGCGTGAGGACAGCTCGAGATCGTCCAAGTACATGTCAGTGCCAGTGCTCTGATAGTAGCCCCATCCAGAGTACTATGACAAGAAATAGAAATCCAAATGTGTCTCTCTACATATATAGCCTAACACTTTCCAGTGGTTCTGCCAGTAGGTTTTCAGCACCCAACACCGCTCATGACAACACAAACACATGCCATTATTAAAACAAGACTTTCATACTAAAACACAGGGAACACAGCCTCTCCTCCCCTCATAAACATGTATACACACACACACACAATCACACACACAAACTCCAGCTTAAATATTATTAATTAGGTCCTGTTGAAAACTTCTTACTTCAAAAAATCTAAGCGGCAAAGCGGATAGGGTAAGCAGTTTTAACGCTCTGTAACTTGTACATAAGCTGCTACATTAAGCTTGATTTTTACACCATCAAAGTATCAGCCAGGTTAACTGAAAGATCAGAGAAAAGGAAGTTGTGGTTTAATGTGAAAAGAGGTTGTATTGCCATGTCACAAACTGATGTAAAGGCAGTGACAAATGACCAAGAAGTCACCATAGTCACCTTTTTTTGGCCTGAACAAGAGCCTGTTTCCACCTGGTACCATCATGCGTCTTGGGTGATCTGATCCCAAGTGGTCAGCTCTGAGTCCGTCTGTTCACACCTGACGTTAGAGGGCGTCTCCACATGCATCTCGAGTGACCACTTGTGATCAGATCTCACTTCCCTGCTCTATATGCAACTGAACACATACGTCATTGCCGTTTGCAAAGACCAAATGTGTTGTTTTTAACTGGCAGGAGATTTGTCTCGCTGTGTGCACACATACAGCCTTTACTCAATACTGCTGCAGAAGGTCCATGCTGGAGACAGCTGGTTTTACACTGCTTGATCAAGGTGGTAATGTCACGCCATCATTCCACCTTACTGTTCTGTTTAAAAGGTACGATCACAGAATGAGGGGACAGAGTTGCCACGCCTTTAAGCTGGCAGCAGAGGTAGTAACAGCGCCGATTAAACATCTGTGTAAAAAGGACAGCTGGCAGGACGGGGTGGATGTGATGTTTTGATGACGTTAGGTGTGCGACCCCAGGGAGATTTATAAAGCAGCTAGAAGCAGTTAGCAGCTAACTCAGAGAAGAAGAACAGCAGCAGAAAATGTCCACGAATTGGTGAGACAATGAGGTCTGGAAGTTCCTTACTCTCCAAGCAAAGGACGAGAGTAAATGACTGTTATTGCCATATTATCCCATTATTACTGTTCAGAAAGCACAGCCGGTGTATATGTTATATGTCACACTAGAGGTCGACGCTGTTGTGATACATGTCACAACTGTCACACTCTTGCTTTTAGGATGCAAGCATGCTATTTGAAATCACACACTAGTACAGCACAATGTTGTTGTTTGCTTCTGTGTAATAATACAAAGGTGGCATAAAGCTGGGACTTTGTAGCAGCCCTTTAACGTGATCCCTGTGTAAAAAGGACCAGTTAGCATCACACAGCTAAAGCTACCTGATGGTTATTAACAGGTTTAACGTCAGAGTCGAGCCACTGCGATGTTAGTGTGAGTTTGTTTGGCCCTGTCAATAGCTGCTGCTGTGTTAGCTCATGCTAACCTCGCAGACATTGAATTGACCGTTCACCAGGAGCAGAGTGTCTCAAGAGACGGTCTCTCAGCTCTGCGTCAGTGCAACTGCACCACCAAAAGTGTTCTTATTCGGTGAGGCGTCAGATAAGCAAGTACATCAGCGAAGCAGGTATTCCTTCAGTGTGGCCCAGGACACATTAGCGCACACACTGCTGAAAGAATGTGGCCATTTGCGGCCCAGACCGCCTCCAAATGTTGTCTGGGTGATCCAATCTCAAGAGGCATTTAGGAGGCATTAGGTGCACTCACATCTGTACTTAAAGCCATCCACCTGTGATCCGATCGGCCGGGACGCATGTTAACACCAGGTGTAAACACAGCTCATGAATGTTATTCTTGACTACATAACCTGTTGCTAAGAGCGATGTATAACTACCACTGTTCACACTGTATTGCTGGCTAGTTTTTGAAGTCAACAAAAGGCTTTAATTTGTTTGTTAAAGGTCCCTTGAAATGGCTTTGATGTTGTAACTGTTTCAGCATTTCTGCATGAATCATACATTCAATTTGATGGAGATTTTTGGATACCTCAAGAATATTTTACAAAAATAAGTAAAATACATTTTAGGATCATATTTGGCACATGATCGATGGGGCAAAATAAATACAGTGACTTAAGTAACAACACAATAGATGTATTTCTCATTTCACGGGACCTTTAAAGATGCATACTGGTTTTCAAACTTTTTTGCCGACCTGATTAAAGTTTAAGCACTGTCATCTGCAGAACAGATTTCAATGTCCAGTCGCAGTCACACTTCTGTCACAGTGCACTGTCCATCAGGACTGCGTGAGCGGAGACTGAGTGAAGAGCTGGAGGGCCCGCCCCTCGGAGGCATCCTGGCTGGCTGGCTCTCTCTCAGTGGCCTTTGCCCGTGTCTTCTCTGTGGCACTGATCCTGCTCTCCCTCTCTCGCACTCCCTTTCCTCCTCGCTGTCACTGCTGCCGGATGCGTAGTCATACGTGTGTAGCTCATCGTCTCCTTCCACCTCTTCACCTTCTGGCTGGCTGATTAGGAGCTGGGAGAAGGACTCTTCCAATGTTGAGGGTGAGGGAGGAAGGGGACTGGTAAGATGGCGCCCCAGGAGTGTTGGAGGTCTAACAGGGGGGAGAGATGCCATAATCCCAAAGGATGAAGACTGTGATGGGCCGTCAGTGTCCGATCCATCAGCTGAGCTGATGCGTTCTGTTGCAACTGGGGTGACAGCTGGTACAGCAGGAGTGGGAGCAGGATCTGGGTCTAACCTCAGTCCTGCAACTCCCTTCTTGGGGATATCGACTATGTCCCGCTTTATTTTGCGTCTCCGCCCATGCTCATTCCGCCGATACTGCACCATGTTCTCCAGGTCGGCCACGTAAAGAAACCCTGCAATCAGCATCTCCGTGCTCTTCCTGCCCTTGGCGAAAGCCTCCTCCAGCTCACGGCTGGTCCTCTCATCATACTGCCACCAGCCGTTGCGCCCCTCATAGTACCACGCATGATCTCCACCTGCGATCCCTCCACTGCGGCTCATCCCTGCAGCCACTGCTTTCAGTTCCTCAGGCGAGAGGAGGACGGGCCGCTCCAGGAAGTCCTCTGGGACTTCTTGTCGGCAGAGAGCGCAGCGCTTGCTCTGCCAGGAGGCACCTTTCACACACAGGAAACAGAAGACATGGAAGCATGGGAGGCGTACGGGGTGGACGCAGGTCTGCAGGCAGATGGCACACTCCGGGGTGGAGGAACTGGAGGGGTCTGGAGCAGATGTGTCTCCCACTTCCTCTATGAGCTTGGAGGAGGCAACAGCATTCACTGAACAGTCCACTTCTCCACAGCCTGCCATTCTGCAAAGAGAAACACAGCTCCGTCACAACAGATCTGTCTGGAAACACTTGCATTGTATCACATGACTGTAACTTGTTAACTGAAACGGGGATGTAATTTGGAGCAGCTCCCAGTTGACATGCGCTGCTTTGTTGATAATTTTGGGAACGCCCTCATAAACACACAACAGAAAGTTAGGGTTTCAGCAAATAAACATCACTGAAATGAAGTTTACAAATAATGCTAGTTTAGGAAATTTAAATACGACACAACTGACTGGCTGGTATCACTGACTGTGCTCATTAGGAGTTATATCAAAGGCCTCTTCTGTCTGACACAGATATCGCGCTAAGCTAACGTTAGCTAACCCGCTAATTTGCTACTTACATTACAATAAATATATTTAAATATATATGTGTGTATATATTCCTGGCAGTGACGTTAGAGGCGCACCTGTTTAATGTGAAGTAACACTGTCACTAAGACACTGTAAAGCCAATGTCAAGCTAACATTCACCTAGCTAACGTTATGCTAACGCTAGTTTGACAGCTGCTGTAGCGTATGTTAGCATGTTAGCTGTCAGTAGCCTCTTAGCTATGTAACGTGTCTGTTATTACACTCACCTGAACACTGGGTATCTGTAGAAGCGTCCTCAGCAGTAGCACAGGTGGAGAAATGTACGAAGCTGCATTTATGTGTTATAAAGTTGTGTATGACAGGTAATGACTGCGTTATGGTCGGCACAGTGTTCCGGCCAAAGCCCGACTGAGTTCAGTGCAGCTGGATCGGCCTCACGTCGTTCACAATGTGATCCATATGATGTGTAGATCTAGTGTTGCTGCGTACAGGATGTACGTGCGTCCGGGTCTACTTATTGATGACAGCAGATGTTTATGACTCGTGATATGAGCAGATGAGGAAGAAATAAGCAAGTTGCACTCATTTATTATAAAAAAAGACAGCATCTCGATTGAAGCAGAAATAGTATAAAGTCTATGGGTTATATCAATGCCCATTAAATATTTTGCATACGAGAAATGTTTTGTTGTGTCATGTTTATATCGCTTATTTCGTTGCATAACACCCAAACTATAGGCTTATAACATATTCTAAAAATATCCACACATAAAATATTGAACAATGACCTTAAAAGGAAACTACGCCCTAAGGGACCGTTCTTTACTCATCAAAGGCTGAGGTGTGACTGTGCTTTTTTTTTTTTGTTGTCGTTTTTTACCCTCCCCAAAGCTACAATTACAGTGGGTTATGATTTGCATACTTTTTTTTTTTTACTTTTAGTAGGTACTGCAGCTGCCCTTCATAAGTATGTACTGTTGCATGCAGTATGCACGCAATCAGGATATACTACTGAGACGGAGATCAACCTGGAGATTTGCTGTTGTTACTTTGCAATGTGTGTAGTTTGACTTAAAAGTTATGACTGCACTGATTGTAGGTTCGAACATATTATATTTGTGACAGTGAAATTACATCTGCAGTTTTCTGTCAGTGAGTTTTTAGTTATGTAAGTTAGTTTGTTGTTTGTAATATTTATGATTATTTTGTTCACCTAAACAATAAATATTCCTAATATTACTATTCGATTAGTCATCATCTGTTCAACGTGATGTATTGTCCACTGTGCAGAGGACTGTGGGTCAGAATAGCCAGAAAAACATGCTGGTTTGCACACTGCAAAATCAGACCTTTGGCAAACTGCTTTTGACATACTATGTATTGGGACATACTAAATCTTTTTCTGGCATACTATGTAGTATGGTAGTATGGGGATTGTAAAGCAAAGCCATTTTTCCTTGAGCTTCCAGAGTGACTGGCGAAACTTGCCTGACTCTCCCCTCGCCATAAATTTGTTATTATAAAGACAAAATTTTGGAGTTGAAAAAAGATTTGGTTTTTCGCTCTTACCATGCATGCTGGTAAATTTGTGCAAACGGTTTATTTGTGACAAAATTTTAAATGAGACATGTAGATATAAAGGAATTTTGAAGAAATAAAACTATTTTAAGCTCAGCTTTGGTTATGTTTATTTTCTGACAGAAGGGTTTGTCCCACATAATGTATCAAGAACTGTCTGACATTTGAAAATCCAACAATAATTTCTGTTATTAAAGTTTCTGGGTGTGTTAAATGGTGTAATTTTGCCAATTTTTAAAGAAAACATGTCGTCTGAACCTGCATGTTTTTTTTAAAAATTCGCAGCAAAAAAACTAACAAACTACAGCCTTTTAAAAACAGCCAAAATAAAGTAATAATAAGTCCCAACCTATTGAGGTTGGCATCCCCCCTTCTTTCCACTGTTTGCATGTTAGCATTTCAAAATCCCCTCTGCTATGCGAAACAAGAACAACCTCTGAGCCAACGATCTTTATGCTGAAAATGGCGAGTTTTGGCTGAGATTTGGATCATGCAATGAGGCCTGCTTTGTTCTTTTGCTGAATTATTGTGAAGCTCTACAAAGAATAAAACATGTGAAAGCACCTCGGAGAAGGAAGACTCTCTCGCAGGACTCTTACGTCTGATTTTGATGTGCCACATCTTTTAAAATGTCCAGCAAACTTTCTGTTGCTGCTGTCTCCATAGCTGCTCTCCTCCCCCGCGAGTTTACCCAGGTAGCACAAGCTAACAAAAATGCAGTGCTAACACCCTCCTAACAAACTCACACTGATACCAAAACAGCTCGACTCTGTCGTTAAACTCACGAGTAACCGTTGGGTAACGTTAGCAGTGTGATGCCTCCCCCCGGCACAATTTTGCCTGGACACCATCACTGCCTCCTGGGCTTAGTGCTACCCAGGACGACTGTGATTGGTTTAGAGAAATACAAACAACCCAGATATTTTTTTTCCCCACAGCAGAATGATGAGGTAACATAACCTTATCACGGTCAAGTATGTTCTGTTTGAGTGCATAGAAAAATGAGTTTTATTTTAGATGAGTACATCTTCACAATTTACAATATTTTAATCAGCTGATATAAAATGTGCAATAACAAGTGGAATGTCTCTGCGATATCTACAAATGGCCTTTAAGGCACTCTCGTTCCAGTTACTACAACCTACGTCGACTCTTAGGCCTCTTTTTGATGACACACTTCCTAGCCTCTGACACATGTGGGCAGGGGTTCCCGTGGACACTTGGAGACCGCAGAACCTGTCGGATACGTGTCTCCTGTCCCCTCCTGTACGCCCCCTTTCTCTTTTTCCGAACACATGGACCCCAAGCTGTCCATCCCCCGACCTCACAGTGCACTATGAGGAGAGAGATGAGAAGGAGAGAGATACTCAGAAGAGGCGAGAGGTGAAAATGTAATCACTGTATCTGACATCTCAACTGTGTGGATGTCGGTCAGAATGTGTTTCTCTCACCTCGGGGGACGCACTGCATAAGCTGCACATCAGGCTCAAACACCGTCGGGCAGGTGAGATGGCACTGACTGTGGAGGAAGTACAGGTCTGCTCTACACCTCACACACACGTTCCTCCTCACACACACCTCACAGCCTGGAGAGCACTCTGAGGCACACAGAGACACAGAGAAACATCTTACTGTAGTTCCTCTGACATCATGAACCTCAGAGCATACATAAAGACACATACTGTACACACATCCTCCACAGGTAACATGCTGCACAGTGCCTCACCTGTGCATTCTCTCAGCACTGCGTTTGGCGTCAGCCCATTTGGACAGCTGTTTTCACATTTGCCCCGGAACAGGAAGTGACCTGGGTGACAATGTGTGCAGAAATTTTCGCTGAAACAGGAAGCGCAGTCTTCTTTGCACTCTGCAGATCAGTGAGAATGAACTCTGGTTAGCGTTGAGTGGCCACAGAGAGTATTTTTAAGGATGACTTAAAGGGACAGTTCACCCTAAAATCAACAATACATATTTTTCCTCGTACCTGTAGTGCTGTTTATCAGTCTAGATGGTTTTGGTGTGAGTTGCAGAGTGTTGGAGATATCAGCTGTAGAGATGTCTGCCTTCTCTCCAATATAATGGAACTAGATGGCACTCAGCTTGTGGTGCTCAAAGTGCCAACAAATACATTTGGAAAAACTCAACATCAATGTCTCTTTCCAGAAATCATGACCTGGTTACTCAAGATAATCCACAGACCAGAGTCCTGCACCAAGTCGGGTATCCAAAATATGCATTTATGTAAATTCACGGTTACAGGTACAGGTTAAAATTAACTGCATGCATTTTTCAGAATAAAACAAATGAAAAAGATGTGCAGTATAAGTGTAATTTTTGACATCTTAATCACTACTATCAAACCGCAAGTCCCCTTATTTGAGAGTCACGGACACAAGTTGGAGGACTCCAGCGGTGAAACTTTGCAGCCCAAGGATGAGATGGCAGCCGACAATGAGTTCAAGACCCCCAAGGTGGATCATTTTGAGGTTTTATGGTGGTGGAAGGAGCATGCTAATATGTTAAAATGTTTCCTAACCTGGCCGTGACTGCGCAGAATATTTTCACCATCCTGGCATTGAGCGCAGCCAGTGAAAGAGACTTTTCCTCTGCTGGATTTGTAATTCAAGAACGGAGGACCCAGGTTAACGTGAGTGACTGTAGCCTGTGTGTGTTTAATCACAGGTGTGGGTCGGGTCGCAGGACTTTTATTAACAGGTGTGGGCGTGTGCGGCTTTAACTCTGATATAATGACGGGTAACGGGTCGGTTCTGGTACCAAGCTTTACAGGTATCAGACCCGTGCAGGACTTTGCCTCAGACATTGTTGTGAGCAGTTTCATGTAGGAACTATTTTCTGTCTACTGAACTACATCGGCCAACTGTTTAAAAATTATATCAAAATTAGACACACTTACATCCATTGATAAATTTAAGGGCTTCATAAAGAACGTGGTGACAGAGACATGTGCTTGTTTTTCTCAAGAGGCCACTATGTTTGAATAGTTGTTGTTTTATTGTGGATTTTTGTTGTATTTGTTGCATTTTAAATGTGTTTTGATTGGCTGCCACCTCGGCCTGGTCTTTCTTGTAAAAGATATTTTCAGTCTCAATGGGACTTCCTGGTTAAATGAAGGTTGAATAAATAAATCACTGCACAGAAGGAAGCATGCATATACTCATTGACAAGAGGCTCATGCTCATTACAGCGTGAGATGTAGAGATTAATGGCATCCTCTTTGGCTGAGCTGTAACGTTAGCTAACTCAGCCAAAGAGCATGGATACCAAGAGGCGAAGCTCTGTTGAATTTTTGCCAACAGCCACTAGGGGCGCTGCCGCCATTTTGGACTGTTGAGCTTGGACTGTTGTGCCCAGACAACATGCAAGATGTCAAGCAGAGAGGAGGAAAAAAGTAAAAGAAAACAGTGTAGTGCAATTAACTGCAACAACTATCAGTGGAACACCCCGCACCTGGTCTTCCACCGTTTCCCAAAGGATCCCGACAGGTAAGAACTCCTGAGGTGTAAGTTTTAAAGTGTTTTAAACTTGATTACGCCTTCAAAATCACCCCATAAGCCAATCTACCAAAAAAAAAAAAAAGATAATATATATATAAATATATGGCCTCTTGGACCATTTATATCAGAACTGATTACTGCTTTAGCATTAAAATATATCATATTAAAATAGCCTATATATTATTATTATTATTATTATTACTGTCCCCTTACTGTACAAACTGTAAATAAATCCTTATTCCTGACTATGTGACATCGCCATTAATGTGTTTCTAGTTAAAATATTGATTTTTAATTTTTTGGTAGATTGGCTTATGGGGTGATTTTGAAGGAGTAATTAAGTTAATCTTCTCATAAGTGGATGTAATATGTAGAGATGCCATCTCGGCCGTTTTTCCTCGTTTTGTTTTTTTTAAAGTCTACATTTTGCCTTACAAAAACGTGAAAAAGCAGCTGTGACCAAGCTATCACAAGGTGAGTAGCATTGTAAGCATAATTAATAGCGATATATTTCAGTTTGTCTGTGTGTTTTTGTATGCAAGCGGGTCTGCTGACAGTCCAATATGGCGGCGGTAGGACGAAACCATGGGCGAGTCTGTTGCTATGGGGCGTTCTATTGAGCTTCGCCTCTTGGTATCCATGCTCTTTGACTCAGCTGTGCTAGGTGAGCCAGCAGTAGATGCACACTTCCCTCTGTGCGGTGATGCAACTGGCTGGTGCAGTTCATGGGCACTTGAAGTTGGGCACTGAGGGAGCTGCAGCACCCCCTATTGACAAGGGGTGGAACAACACAGTCTGAAAATGGCTGGCTTTTTTACCAATACTCCTGGACTATCTAAACATTTGTTTTAAATGTTGAACAGAATATGATGAGGTGCCTGTCAGACAACATGAAAAAAAAAAGTTTTGAAAAAATTTAAAACTGAATTAATGCCTTTGAACTGATGTGACGTCATCACGCTGGGTCAAAGTGCAAAGGTCAGGGGTCAGCGAAGGGTTAAACTTGGGGAGAGATTTGCAGTAGCAGGACCCAATTAATGGAGCAGACAGGCTGAAGAAGACCAGAAAATTGCCAGGACAGTTTTGGAGCTGCTTTCTAGACCCATAAAATATCTTATCACGTGAGGGACTCCCACTGCAAGGACAAAGCCATCAGGATGGAGTTTTATGTCAGTTAACGTTAACAATAGAGAGGACAACGAGCCGAAGTGAGACTTGCCCAGGGGATGTCAGCTGATCCAGTGAGGAGACAACTGGATGCCCAACTCCAGAGAGAAACTGTGTTTGAGGTGAGGGAGCCACATTCTTTGGTCAAACGGCTGTTGGAACCACCGATGTTAATATGTCAAGAAGTTTTCCTGTAGCACCTGTGAGCTCATGCACATACATATTCATGCACGAGCTATATACTGTGCAGCATAAATACATCCCCGCATGCATGGTGTACTTCATTAGAAAGAAAATAGTTCCTACATTAAATTGCTCACAACAAGGTCTGTGGATTATCTTGAGTAACCATTAACCACCATATCTTGAGAACTGTCATGATTTCTGGAAAGAGACATTGATGCTGAGTTTTTTTAAATGTGCCATCTAGTTCCATTATATTGGAGAGAAGGCAGACATCTCTACAGCTGATATCTCCAACACTCTGCAACTCACACCAAAACAATCTAGACCAATAAACAGCACTACAGGTAAGAGGAAGAATATGCATTTTTGATTTTGGGGTGAACTGTCCCTTTAAACACTCCTGCATGTGTCCACTCATACTCACTGGTGCAGGTGCTGATGTGCGGAGAGCGTGTGCCATAGTGACCCCGGGGACAGGAGGACAGACAGGTGCCCCTTTGCCGCATCCCGTCCAGCTCCAGGTGGAAGAAGAGGCGAGGTTTACAGGACAGACAGCCATTCAGGGCCGAGCACGTCGCACAACCTGGCAGACACAGTCTGTTCACGGAGGAGCTACCTGTGGATTAAAGGAATGTGAGAGGTGTGTGTCTGAGTTTTATATTCTCTCTGCGCTCGTGCAAATAAAATATAATATCTCACATACTCTGTGCTCCATTTACAGAACTAAATTTTACAGGCAGCTTTTTATGAGCTCACAGACAGAGCCAAGCTCTCAAATTTGTAGTGTGCAAGTGGGTAAATCCTCTGGAAATCTATGAGCACATTGTTCCCTGAGAGCTGAAGGAGCACTTATTGTCTCCATATGTAGTGTCTGTCTACTGTTCGCTATCTCCCACCGGAAAAATTAGGATAGATAAGGCACATCTCACAGGAGCCATGTCAAACAAGTTACATTCTGCATGAATACTCACGTCTTGTGTCATCAAGGCCTTTCGTAAGATTCATGAGGTGCAGAATCCAAATTAATGATGATATGCGCATTTTCCTTCACCTTCAGTTCAGCATGGATCCAGTCAGCAAAGACACCTTGCATCACATCCCAAACCCCACGATGAGCGTTTCAGAAGTCGTCTCCATAAAGGTTACTCACATGGACTCCAGTCTGGGTGAGAGAGCCGTTGAGTGCAAATGTTTTCTTGCAGAAAAATCCCACGTGCATTCCATGAGGTCACTGAAGCCGGCAGAACGCCATGAAGAACGCAAACAGCAGAGGAGCCATCATATGATAGTCGCAACCCAGATCTAATGGACGTTTGGGTAAGCTGCTGTGGGCTTGTCTCTGTTTCCCACACACACACACACACTCAAACACACTCCCAACCTCCTCGACCCTCCTCCTGATCTATTATCACGGCAGTGTCTCTTTACAGAAAAGGAATTACACTGTGATTTCTACACGATGGATCTTTTATCCTCACGTGTCACATACTCTACATTTATTAGCTCACTAAAGTTTACAAGTCTGTCTTTTAAAGTCTTTTGCTTATTGTTACTTAACTCTGATGTTTGCCCTTGTGGCTTTTTTTTTACTCTGCCACTGTTGTTGTTCCTTAGATTTTCATTCTAGCTATAACTCCTCAGTCTGTATAGTTCTGTATATAATGTTTTAACTTTTTAATGAGTGCTACAACCCTGTATATCCTGACTGCATGATGACTTGTCTATGGATGGCAGTGATCAGTACGAACGCTCAATTAATCAATTCAACAGAAAAATTTAAACAGAAAATTACCTGGCAACTTATTTTGATAATTGAATGTTCACTTTAGTACTTTTTGGAAGACAAATAGCCAAAGTTTTGCTGGTTTTATGCTTCGTAAATGTGAGAATTTGATGCGTTTCTGTCGTACAAACTGAATGGCTCTTAGACTGTTGGTTGAAGATGTCACCATGCGCTCCAGGAAATTAAACGGGGCATGTTACACAAGTTTTTTTGACAAGAAATTAATTGATTAACCGAGACAATAATAGGCAGATTATTCGCTAATTAAAATAAATGTCAGTTCTAGATTAATAAATGTTACGTACTAAGTATTGACTTCTCAGTGAAACAGAAAAAAAATTTGTCCAGTAGTTAATCTTTTGAAATGAACAATATTTGCACAGTCAGAGATTCTGAATTTTTCTTGAGGTAGAAATTCCTCTTTAACAATTTTTTAAACGTGGTCAATTAAACAAAATAAACTATTGAAACAGAGAACTGTATGAATCTTAAAGGAACACTTCACCCACAAAATGATAATTTTTTTTATCAGTCACTTACCCCATGTGTCGTTGAATTCGTGAAGAAACAGTTTTTCTGGCATGCCTCCACCGTGAACGAAGAATCCAAAAAGGGTGAACATGAATGAATGAATTGCAGTGAAAGGGGGAGCTATGTTTAACAACAGAAAAACTATCATAAAACTTTAATTAATAGCCCGGGCTATTATTTGCTTAAATCACTGAAATCAAGAGGCCTTTATTTGGGACAGGCGTCTATATATTCTTGTTACACAAAACTGTTGCTCAGCAAAGATGGGAAATACGATCAAATAGTTTATTTGAACTCGTATGAATATTACTTGTATAAAAATTAGGCTTTGGAGAACATATCAATTATGTGTTATGACACTTGTTTCACAGCAACCTGCATACTGACACAGCACAACTTTATCCTCTTAAAACAATACTTACAACTTGGATTAAGTTTTATGAAAAACACGTTTGATTCTTTTGATCAGTGGATCCCTATGGACTACAGGAATATAAATAACTTACCGGGTAATTGAGGAATGGACACGTATTCTCACTTTATGACAGCTTCAGAGGAACAGAGTCACCACTTATTTTTCGTCATGCCGTTAAATCTGAATGACTTTCGGTCTTCTCTGGTGCTCGTTGTTTCAGTAAAATAAAATCAACCAAACTAACGATGTGTAGCATCTCCATATTGACCAAAGTGTAAAAAATGTATATTTGTATGTATGATCTAAGCAGCTAACTAATGTTAGCTCAAGTGGGTCGTCAACAGTCCGGTTTTATATATCCAAAGAACCTCTGTAAAAATGAACTGCTTGGCAACCACACCAGGCTTCTAATAGAGACGGGCCTTTATTCGTCAAAATGTGTAGCCACAGCAGGCTAGTAAAAGGGACTGGGCATTATGGGACTAGGCTTTTAATTGATTTTTTATGGTATATCAAAACATCTCACACAACTCATGCTGTATAATCTAGATGTCATTTATCCAGTTGTATGCTCAGTACTTCCCAAACACATGCATTTTTGTTTAAAAAAAAAAATCACTACTCAAAACACTTACACATAGGAGTAGGCACCTGGGCAAGCATGCGCATTTAAAGAGTTCAAATACACGCTTGCCCCAGGTGTGCTAATTATCAGTGTGTGAGACTGTTTATGCGGAAGTGTTTTAAATAGTGAGGTTTTAGCAAAAATGCATGTGCTTGGGAAGTACTGAGCATACAGCTGGATAAACGAGACTTGTATTATACTGCACGAGTTGTGTGAGAGTTTGTAAGCAGATGTTTTGATATAGTTTTGCTGTTGTTAAACATGGACCCCTATGACGTCAAGAATTTTCTGTTTTTGGATTCTTCGTTTACCATGGAGGAATGTGAGAAAACCTTTTTCCCCCATGAATTCAAGGTGACACAGGGTGAGTAATTAATATACAAATGGTCATTTTGTGGGTGAAGTCTTCCTTTAAAACATTGTTCAGAGGTGAGTGAAACAGTACACATTCCTCTGTCTTAGTCCCATCTTTAAATCATACACTGTCTGCTCAGCTGAATGGCAATCGGGGTGAGTGTGTGACCATGACAACAAAATATCTCCTCATTTGGTTTCATTTAAAACAATAAAGCACGGCTATGTTTTTGAGGCATGTCATCGCAAGATCAACACCAGCTTTTCGACGTCTTCTCACACGGGCTGGATGAAGTCATAGTGATGGAACAGAAAAAAAACTAAAAAAAACATCCATCGCAGAAAAACAGCAAATACCACGTGCCCTCACTTTTCAGATTTAGTTCAACTTAAGCCATGATGGGGCGCTTCATGTTCTCAATGAAGACAGGATTTAGGAAGTGTAAACCACAAACACAGGGTGATTTGACTACCACCCAATGAGAAAAGAAAACTAGAGAGCTGGAGGTGTCAGAGAGGATCTGTGATTCCCACAAAAACTCTGGAAGGCGATAAAAGTCTTAAGCTCCGGAGGATTGTTGTTTGGCGTCCCGGTGTGTATTATCGCCTGTTTGGGAACTCTGTGGTTCTCAAAACAGATTTGAACTCTCCAGCATTCCCCTTCCTGGAAATGGTCTCCCTGTGCACTTCACGAGTCTTTGCGTCAGTCCATAATCCTTTCAGAGCCTGTCACATCTTATAGAATCAAAATTTGGGTTTGTTGCTTTTGCTTATTTCTAAATATTTTGTCATATTGTTGTTCGACGAAAACGCCTCCTCAGGGCTGAACAGAAACAGCGACACATTCGAATTCATGTGCTCCTGATTAAGAAAGGCTCAGCCAGTTATCATAATAACATCTCTGCCAGAACGGGCTGCTGTGCTTTCTTGGGCTTGTCTGGAATAAAGTCAAAAGTGGAATCAGCAGGAGCTTTACAGTGGGATTTTACACTGGAGCTGATTTATCTGAGAGAGACAGGGCTAAAAGTTACACGCTGCCAGACGGAGGAGCTGGACAGGGCTCCACTGGCTGGCTTAAATCGTCAACAGGTGCTCAGACGCAGGCGAGGCACGGCTACTTCTTTATTTTGATAGAGGAATAAGAGTGTGTTGCTCAAATCCCCCGAGAACGAGAGCGAATGCAGAGAAGAGGACGATAGAATAACACCTCTGGATGTGCAGCCAGCTGCTGCAGAGCAACATCATCCATCAATCTGTGTGCAGCAGATTTATAGATTGTGCTTTCAGAGCAAATATCTCCAACAGGACAGTGTGAAGTTCACTAACAATGTTTTACATTAGATAATGTATGCAGATGCACCGTCAGCAAAAAGAGCTGTGTCATGACAAGATCTGAATCGAGCAGGGAACAGCAGGGCAGGTGTCAGGGGTTCAAAGGTCAGGAGGGTGGGGCTCCACATACCCAGTAACACCTCCTCAACCTGACTGGGAACATAAACACGACAAGGCTACGCTCAGCAGGGAGCCAGATCAGGTTCTTGAAGACAATAACCGCTGGAGGCCAAAGAATGTCTTCACTGCCAGAGAGACGGAGGGGAAAAGGAAAATGATAAAGATGGAGGACAGTGAGCGAGGAAATGAATAACAGTGACTAATTTTAACCATATGGACGACATATAGCTGTAATCATGTTCACATCATCTAAAATTAAAATACATGCACTGACGTTAACCCTTGCATTTTGTATTAAAGAGGAACTACGCCCATTATTAAAATTCATACATGTTATTCCTGTAGCTTAAGACAGTCCAGAAATATGAATGAACATGAACAACTCTCTTTCAAATCCAAAAACTTAAGTGCTGAAGCTCAAATTTCTGATGTCATCGATTATAAAGTCCCGAACTGTTCTGTCGACAATGGACTGGAAAGATGTTAGAGATACCACTTAAGGGTCCATCCCAATACTCACACTTCACCTCAAAATTGGCCCTAGCCCTTGTTTTTGTGCGTTCCCGTTAAGGGCTAGGGTGTCCCAAACTTTAAGGAAGTGCTTTTCAGCCCTTAAAATCCCCACTTAATTTGAAGGGCCATACGATGCACACTTATGAACCCATCTCAACTGAGGGGAAGATTGATTGTAGTGATGTAGCCGACATGAATATCTACAGTTCTCCGTGAAGCCTACGTCGACGATACGCGTGACGTAGGTGAACGCGCCTGTTACGCTAATTTACAAGAGGTGGCGTCCCAATTCGTAGGTAGAATTCCCTACCCCTTCATCGTTAAGGGGAAACTATCTGGCGAGTGCACTTGAAACCAAGGGGTGAGGTTAAAGGTGCTGTATGTAAGAATGTGGCCAAAACGGTTACTGCACTCAAATTCAAAATACTGCCGCAAGTCGTGTCTGCCCCCCCTCCCCTACAGATTTGAGGTTGCTGGACAGTGGCACACTGGAGACTGATTTGTTTGCCCACGGGTAGCTACCATGGCAGGGCCGCGTTGCCGCGTCCTAGATCTTCGGTTTTCCAGCGGACCATTCGAGCAAGTCTGACTTCTCTGCTGCTAACCCTGCTGCCAGGATACAGCTGAGGAGGAGCCGGCTGCTAATGCTATGTACCGGGACACTGCTAACGCTGCTGTTGGGATACAGCTGAGGAGGAGCCGGCTGCTAATGCTATGTACCGGGGCACTGCTAACACTGCTGCCAGGATACAGCTGAGGAGGAGCCAGCTGCTAATGCTATGTACCGGGACACTGCTAACGCTGCTGCCGGGATACAGCTCATGAGGAGCCGGCTGCTAATGCTATGTACTGGGACACTGCTAATGCTGCTTGCCGTGCTGCTAACGTTTGTTTCTCAAAAAATCAGTCGGGTCGATGACCCACCTGCACATGGGCTACAATGTGTGATCGAAAATGAATAACAGTTGTAAGTATTCTAAATGTCCATCCCCGTCTAGCTATGATGCTAGTTAGCCAACTTTGGCTAAAGCTTAACGTTAGATGTCGAGGAGAAGAGTGGCTACTTTGACATCCGATTTCAAATTCTTCTCCGCTTTCAACCGTCTCAACAGTTCAATAGCATCTCCTATATAGACCCTTGCTTTGCCTCGAGTTTTGCGTTGGTGTTTTTGGGAATCATAACGAGGTCGTTTGGGTTTAGTCACACCGTCAGCCACTGTAGCTCAGTCGTAACTGACTGTGTGACTGTTAGACGGCGGTGGGTGGCGCAACAGGCCAAAACACAAATTCAAAACATAAACATGATTTGCGGACTGTAAAAATGTTTTTTAAATGCGAATATTCTGGCTGTTCTATTGTTGTCGGTGAGATCAGTATGTTATATGAACATTATTCCTTAGTCTCTGTGACATATTAGGAGGATTTTATGACTATTTGCTTTAGATTTCTTACATATGGCTCCTTTAAGGGAAGAGAACTGGGATTGGCCCTTATACCCCTTGTCTACTGACATGGAACAGGTGCACCTAATTGTGAACCATTTGGAGCATTTCAACCAAAAATAGGTTTATTTTACTGGAGGGACTGATACAACAAAGGTATCCTAAATATTGGATGTCTCTGTCTCTATCTTTAACTCCTTTGAGATAATGAAGGGTCAGAAAAATGATTTCTGGAGATATCTCCAACTCAGAAACTTACTAAACTGACAGCTAGAAAAATTACATCTAGAGCTCCTCTGCTCCCACATAGTAAGTTTAATTTATAAGTACCTTATATACAAATATGGCATGAACACTGAAGGGCTGAAAATTGTATGGGAAAAAGACTCGGGGGTTACCTTGGACGACAATGTCTGGAGTACATTAGTAGCGCAGATGTCTCTCCCAATGAGAGACAGCAAATCAAAGCTGACTCAATATAAAATTTTCAGTAGAATTTATTCACTCCAGCAAAGCTGCAGCTGATGGGTCTGTTACCATCCAACTTGTGCTGGAGATGCAACTCCAGCTTTGGCAACATAGTGCCCATGTTTTTTGGTTGCCCCTCATTGGTTACTTTGATTTTAGCGCTGCTCATCGTGGACTATATTGCTGTCATTGTTCATTTAAGTCAAACCATACAGTTTGAAAATGAGGCGCGGCTCCAACTAGAAAACAATGTTTTGATGCATTGGATGTGCTGAATGTGCATATTAAGGCAGTACAGGAGGAGGTGCACATTAATAATCCTCCAGGACTGTAACATGCTCATGTTTAACCCAAACAATGTGTCATGTGACTGCAGTTGGCTCAGATCCAGGTCGGAACACTTTCTCACCACAAACCAACCGCACCAGAGTTCATTTGTAACCGGACTGAGACCACCTCTTCAAGAAGGTCTCAGTCCGGTTGTTTGGGTGCACACCTGAGTGTGATTGCTGTGTTCACACCTGCCCAAACGAACCACACTTAAGTGGCAAACAAACTTGAGTTCGATTGAACCAAACCAAACAGGGCAGGTGTGAAAGCACATGATCATGTTCCACACATATTTAACTTTCCAAAGCCATCAAAATAAGATATTGGGATTCTTAATTATGCGGTGTTCCCCTTTCAATACTTTGATCTATTGTTTTAAACTGGGTTAACACTTTAAAAAAGATAAATGTTGAACTTAGATTGATGGTTAAACCGTCCATTGTCACGTCACCACCTGCTACCAAGGTCCTGCTGCAGCAGAAAATGCACATGACATCGTTTTTAATAAAAATCTAACAGATACCGTATGATCTGGGCATAAAAAAAGTTTAACTTTGAACTTTTCACTTCTCACACACCTCAGAAAGTAAAAGTCTGGCTGTGAATAACCCTGCAGTGATAAAGGTATGAGCAGGATAGCATCGCAGCATGCAGATAATCTATGTAGCGTGAAGAAGGGAGGAATTTGGGAGGAGGCTGAGCCCCACGCTCAGTGAAGAAGCTGTGAAGCATGCAGCTTTAAAACACTGACCATGACGGATGGAAGGAGAGCAGGACGGGGGACGAAGAGATCTGGAAGCACTAACATGAGGTGTCCACAACTTTGAGATCAAAGCTTAATACTCTCAACACTGCTGCACAGTATGTCTTCATTGTATTTTTTGAACACTTTTGAATGTGACGCTTGATCTGATGGCAGCAGTTATGACTTGATTAATATCAGTAAGCTGTTATGTTAAGCACCGCAAGTTTTGGGGGCTGAGAGGTCTACAATATGAGCCATTGTAAGATTCACAAGAATTTAATAAAGAACAAAAAAAACTCATGACAGAAAAAACATATATACAAGGGATAGAACATAAAGGATAATTTCAGAAGAAAATATTTAATAAAAAAGCAAAAATATTGCTGCTGCCAATCATGAAAAAAGTCCATAAAAATGATGATGACACTTCCCCATCTTCATCCCCGAGCTTTTTTCAGCATTTTCTATAAAGACAGAAAAATAAACCTCAGTAAGTCTCCTGTTCAAGATGGAGACACCAAAAAGTGTTCAAAAAATAAAAGCATTATTAATCAGAAGCATTACTACGTCTCATTAATAACTGTCAACATCAACTGTAGACATTATATTAATACTACTAGCCCTTAAAAAAAGTACAGAAATGTGTATGTAATATTTGAATTTGATTAAAGATACACTCTGAAGGGTTTTCCTGAAAACAATGGAAACAGTCATAAAGAAGTAATCCCTCTCAATCATCAATTATGAACCTCTAGAAGTGTGTGGTGGAGTATTTTTCTGCAGGGACTTTGCCCTCAGCCTGCAGTTTCTTTTTTCTTCTCATTTCCTGTGTTTAGTTTATGTGCGTGTGCCTCCACAGCACTCAGGTGAGGTTGGGGCTTTATAGAAAGGTAGCAACCAGGTTCTAGACCCTGAACAATAGGCTTACAACAGACACATCACTGAAGAAAATACAGCGAGGCGAAACGCCAAATGAGAATCATTGTGGGACTGGCTTTTACTTAGACTTTTGAAGCATGTTTACAAACAGTAACCGGCAATCCTGCATAGTATATCTTTAAATTCAAACAAACACTCAATGTAAGATCATTTGGTTTTGAAATATAAATAGGAAGTAGGTGTCAGTTATGTGAGAAAATGTTTAGGACTTTTGTTTTAATTGCAAAAGACAGAGACCATGATGATGTTCATTGAGCATCTCTACCAGACAACATGCTGCTTACTGATTCAATTTATTCCAACACTTTTTATTTTAACACTTTTGCAGGCTCAACTAGTTAACCTCTCTGTTACACCTGCCTTTGAGCAAACAAGCAGGGTCTACAAAACCTGCCCATTCTGAGGTTTTGATGTATGGTAACTAAATTTACCTAAAAAGGATAATGACAATAAAAATCTTTGAAAAATCAAAAACTAAAGAACATCTAATAACTCTGACTGAGAAATGATTTGTAGGTGGTGAAGAAGAAGAAGAAGAAGAAGAAGAAGAAGAAGCAGTAGAAGAATCTGGGGGAAATAAAATATTTTTCACTCAATTGTTATGCCCACACTCACGACCCATAGACATGTAGTTGTTGTGGAGGAATGTTAGAGCTGATTGGGCTACATGGTCAAGCATCCTGAGCAATTAGTGGTTTGGTGCCTTGCTCAAGGGCACCTCGGCAGTGCCCAGGAGGTGAGCCAGCACCTCTACAGCTACTAGTCCACACTCTGTACTGACAGGACTGTGCTGTGGACTTAAAAAGACCACCCTCTAGTACTGGAGCCAGGTCAAAGCGGAGCTACTGCTGCCCCAAAACCAAACTAAAACACTAGAAATCAATAGTAAAGGAAAAATATGCACCATGTGGGCTGCTGCCTGTTTACAGTCATTAATATGAGGGCCGTGTAAGAAAATGAGACACTGCCTTTTATGCAGACCATGCCAACTTATTCAATAAACAAATCCCAACTTCTAAAGCATTAAAAACCTTCTGACTGCTTTTGTATAATCATCAGATTTCACATTAAAACACAGGGCCATCAGAAAATCTTCTGTATTAACACAAACAATGTAAAATATATTTTCACAGTTTTAAATCATCAGAAATCTCTGTCTCTTGTGCCTCTGACCGTTTTGCCTTTTTATAGACCAAACCATTGATGAGGTAAAAACAATATTGTCACTTGTCACTTAAAGTTGTATTGCATTTGAGAGTGATGCTTGACCGATATTTATTATCTATTTATGGACATTTTTAGGCATTTTAAGGTGAACATCATGAACTAGTTTAAGCTGCACTCTGCACTGTGTGTTGTCATATTATGGTTGTCATTTGTCCAGTTACAGTATGTGTTATTTATGTACTGACGTTTTAACACACATAAAGTTCCGTACGGATAAATTAACTTGTTTTGATATTTCATTTAATGTTAATATAAATACAACACGGACACAAACAACGTTAGCTTGGACAGTAGCATCCGTGATTTTAACCTCTCTTTGAACTAACCTTGGCGACTGCTCTGACATGATGAGCTCTGATCGTTGCAGATTTCTCCTCAAAAGCTTTGGCCTTCGCTTCCTCAGCCAGGCTGCTCAAAAACAGCAGCGTGAGGAGCTCAATCTGAAAACAAGGACAGAAGTCGATGTGTTCAGTTCTGCTTGTTAACTTGTCAGTTATGCTAGTTAGCGTTAGCCACACACAAAGCGAACAGTCACAAACACCAGCAGCGTTAGCATATCAGTGCTACTCACCATCGCCTCTGACGTCGGTCTCACGTTTATGCTCCTCTTCGTTTTAGTTTTAATTATAGATTTCAACTTGGGCGCCTTCTTCATCATTTTGGCAAATGTTCAGTGTCAGTTCACACCAGCAAAAAGGTTGTTTACGTTTTCCAATCTCCCGCTTTTCCTACTTCCGGTAAATTCTTCTTCGTGCCTTTTCAATCTTCGACTGTTGCTGCCATCTACAGTTTAGTTTTAGTAGCGAAATGTATATGTTGTATTCAAAGTGAGGACTAAATAATACAAATTAAAACGTATTCTTTCCGATACAAACATTTTACAAAAGTCTCCTAAACACATATAGAGGATAGAGGATGTAACTGTAGTGTTTTAATCACGTCTCCCTCCGGCTCGGTGTTGTCTATGCCGCCACCCAGCGGTTGCTTTGGAACACTACATCCTCCTTCTGTTTCCGGTTCAGCGGGCAGTAATGGCGGCCACCATGGAGACAGCAACAAGCATGAAAAATATGCTGCAGTTCATGAAACTTATCGGACAGCTCAAAGTAAGACTTATCCCCAAACTCCGGATACTTTTGTGGTGTTTTGGTCCCTGACCGAAAATAAATAATAAATTATCTTTACTTTACGTGTGTTGAGGCTCAGTCTGTAGCTCGTCCTGTCAGTGTTTACTGGTGCTGCTGGTGTTTATACAGACCTCACATTAGAACTACTTGTTACTACAGTGTCTTAACAGGTGGGCACTGTTCACCTGTAACTGCTGTAGCAATGAGGCTTTAAATATAAATATTTTACCCAACAGAATAATTGTATTTATTTCCTGGGGTCAGTTTTCATCCAGGACCCCCAATAAAGTGTTTTAAGGTGTGAGTTCGGCCACAATAAATATTCAAAATGTATAAAATTGTGTCGAAATTTTCTTCTTCTCCTTTTTTTAAAGTTGTAATTTTGTCAGACAAACAGTGCAAAACCTAAAGAAACACAGTTAACTGTCACTAAAGACTAAAACACAAAATGTGTACCTCCTATAAGCGTCAGTATCCACAAACACAGACTAACTGTCTCACTAAGATGGTGAAATGAGTCATGAGACACATATTGTAGGACAAGTTTGTCCTTTCCCTCTGATGTGTTGTGGTTGATGTCACCTGCAGAGAGTCCCACGGACCGGCTGGGTGTACAGGAATGTAAAGAAGCCAGAGAGTGTGTCAGACCACATGTACCGCATGGCCATGATGTCTCTGACCATCACCGACCCCACAGTGGACAAGGACAGGTAGGTTTGCACACAACTGAACAAAATTAAAAATCCCAAAATATAAAATAAAATCCATTTATAATCTACTAGAAATTCCAGTGATGTTAGTTTGACCTCCAGACAGCAACTCCATCCTCTGTTGTTTCATCTGAACCTTCTCCAGACTATTAAAGTGAATATTTAATGACATTCAGAAAAGCATAAATACTCATGCAGCATAGTCCAAAAATACTTAAATACTAACTTTATTCCTCGTTGTCTTCAGATGTATAAAGCTGGCTCTGGTTCATGACATGGCAGAGTGCATTGTGGGAGATATCGCTCCATCGGACAACGTCAGTAAAGCAGAGAAACACAGGCGAGAGGAGGCAAGTGACCTTCATCGACTTTAAAACACAAGAGGCTTCTTAAAGCCGAGCCTGGTCAGGTATAACTACATGTCATGGTGATGGTTTAAACAGGTTACACATCGCTGTTTGGCTTCTCTAATGTCTCCTCCTCACCTCTCTGAAGGAGGCGATGAGGCATCTGTCAGGTCTGCTGCCGGAGGGACTCAAACAGGAGATCTACGGACTCTGGGAGGTACGTCTCTTTGCTTTCCCTTTGTATTTGTAGATTATGACTCATATTTGAATGAGCAGGCAGCCATGACACATTTGCCTTAAATGCAGGAGTATGAAAACCAGAGCAGTCCAGAGGCCAGGTTAGTGAAACAGTTTGACCTCATGGAGATGATCCTGCAGGCTCATGAGTATGAGGAGCTGGAGGGAACGCCGGGAAGACTGCAGGAGTTCTTTGACTCCACCAGTGGTAAATCTGCTCTGTGTCATCTGTCTTTTGCTCTTCTTCACTGGCTCTCATTTCTTAAAGGGTAACTTCGGTGTTTTTCAACCTAAACCCAATTTTCCCATATTTTTGTGTCTAAGTGACTGATGGGAACAACAGTTTTTGAACCTGGTCCAGTATTGAGTGAGAAGGCTGTGATGTAACCACTCGGGGCTTGTTTGCACTGTCAATTTACATCCATTGAAAGTGCTTGTTTTTGCCACTGACTAGCTCAGGTTGTCTGAGAACATTATGAAAAGGATCCCTACAGAGACAGATCTTCTAGTTAAAGAGTAAGATCCTTTTTGTTTAATCAGAAACAGCCCCGAAATCACCATCGCCAAACCCACCAGACTCCATTTAAATAAACGATAGTTTTAGCGTGTATAGAGCCAACATGTTTTCACGTCTAACTGGGTGAATTAAAGGTTTATTTCAATCAAACCAAAGTTGGTGATTGTTGGAACAGTGGAAAGATTAACAAAGACAGTATTTGTGAGTTTTATTTTGTTTCTGGAGACTTAAAATACGGTCTGTTTTATAATGATAAAATTACTGTTCATTTAAATGGAGTCTGGTGGGTTCAGAGATAGTGATTTTGGGGCTGTTTCTTATTAAACAAAAAGGATCTTACTGTTAAACAAAAAGGTCTATCTCTGTAGGGATCCTTTCCATGATGTTGTCAGACATGTTGAATAACAATCAGAGCCTGTCAGTGGCAAAAATGAGCACTTTTTCATGGACATTGCGTTACTGGACTGACTAAAAACTGTTGTTCCCGTCAGTCACTTAGACACAAAAACATGGGAAAATAGAGTCCAGGTTGAAAAATACCAAACTAACCTTTAAGTTGCTCACATTTGGGCATCAGGGATCACTTTATTTCTTGTCATTTAAACTAATTTTAACACATTGTGCAGACTTCTTTTAAAAATTTGTATTCGTCAACAAACTTAAGACAATTTCAAATGTATATTTCACAGATTTCAAAGTAGGTTGCCTTTACTTAAATTGTTTCTCATTTTTATTCTCTCTCAGGTCGTTTCCAGCACCCAGACGTACTCCAGCTCCTCAGCTCTTTAAATGAAGAGAGACAGTGTCACATGACCAAAACAGCTGAAGCAAAGAACTCTTAGAACTCACAGACAGTCAGTGCTGTATCTTCACAGCCACATAATACTTCACACACTCCCTGACTGTAACACAAAATGTGTAAGTGCAAGGATGCGCAAAGAAATCACAGGATCAGGGGAAAACTGTTTTTCAGGAGTTTCATCTCCTCATTGTTGAGGCGTTAGCGATATTTGAGCTGAGAATGAAGGCACATAGATATCTATCCCATACTGGGAAGTATATTATCACTGCAATGCAAGAATTGCCTGATAATACACAAATACAATAACTTGTCAAAATTCAATTAAATGTCCCTAGAAATGGGTTGAAAAATGTGATAAAACCTGTAAAATTCCTGGTACGTCATGACATAGAGGCAGATTTCACCCCCATTACATTTCTGTCAACTATGCTGACATTTTCTTAAAGGGACAGTTCACCCCAAAATCAAAAATACATATTTTCCCTCTTACCTGTAGTGCTGTTTATCAGTCTAGATTGTTTTGGTGTGAGTTACAGAGTGTTGGAGATATCAGCTGTAGAGATGTCTGCCTTCTCTCCAGTGTAATGGAACTCGATGGCACTCAGCTTGTGGTGCTCCAAGTGCCAAAAACTCAACATCAATGTCTCTTTACAGAAATCATGACCTGGTTACTCAAGATAATCCACAGACCCTGGTGTGAGCAGCTTGATGTAGGAACTATTTTCTTTCTACCAAACTACCCACCAACTGTATCACTGCGCAGAAGGAAGGGTGCATCTACTGCTAGCTCACCTCGCATCACTGAGCTAGCTAACATTACAGCTAACCTGAAGAGGACGCCATTACTTTTTAGACCGCACACTGTAACGAGCACAAGCCTCTTGTCCAAGAGTAGATGCACGCTTCCTTCTGCGCCGTGATCAGTGGTGGGCAGAGTAGTTAAAATCTATACTCAAGTAAAAATACAACTACTTCTGTAAAAGTAAAGTGAGAATTACCATTAGAGGAACCTTTTCAAGTAACAGTAAAAAAAGATTAATAAATTACTCAAGGTACAAGTTACTTTACATTTTGATATTTTTCAAGGTTGAGCAGGTCAGTGCAAAAGAATGAAAAAAAGAGCACCTGTAGGGTGCAGGAAGTATCTTTTCTTTCGACCGATCTACGCCCACCAACTGTATCACCATGCAGAAGGAAGTGTACATCTACTGTTAGCTCACCTAGCACCACTGAGCTAGCTAACGTTACAGCTCAGCCAAGCAGGATGCCATTAATGTTGGCATCTCACACCATCATGAGCACAAGCCTCTTGTCCATGAGTAGATGCACACTTCCTTCTGTGTGGTGATACAGTTGGTGGGTGTAGTTTGGTAGAAAGAAAATAGTTCCTACATGAAACTGCTCACAACAAGGTCTGTGGATTATCTTGAGTAATGATGATTTCTGTAAAGAGACATTGATGTTGCCATCTAGTTCCATTATATTGGAGAGAAGGCAGACATCTCTACAGCTGATATCTCCAACACTCTGCATCTCACACCAAAACAATCTAGACTGGTGAATAGCACTAAATAGGAAAAATGTGTTTTTGATTTTGGGGTGAACTGTCCCTTTAAGATCAACACGCTTTACTGCTTGTTTCCAGTCCACTGACAAACACATTTTGACATGTTATATATTATCTGGCAGCAGACATTTCATAATACGGTTATCCATAGTAATGGATAAATGTAATGGTGCTGTACTTCAAAAAATTGTGTTAATGCATTTTTTAGACACACAGTATTAGTTACATCAGTAACAGCAGCATCACCAGGACTTCAGTGTTGCTGATGAGAAAACAGGGGTAAGATGTGGATTTTATTTTACGTGAACTATTTTTCAGTTGCACATTGTTACATTTACCATGTTTGATCTCAGTTTCAATACGTTCAGTCACAGTTTCAAGTGTTTATTGCAAAACAGTCATATATAATATTTGGTTTGGTTTAAACGATCTTTAATATCAATCCATCAGCCATAGAAACGGTTCTGTACAATGTTGAATACAATGTTATTTTATTTGAATGTCACAGTCTTTGGGTGTAAAAGGGTTTTTTAACTGATGCTGTATTCAAATTTCTTCCAAACACATTGTACAGATGTAAGATAAGAACTGTAATTTTCCAATGACAGAACATGAATTATCACAGGTCAGCTTGTTCCAGCTACATATGATTCTTTCAGTACTTGAATGTTGACATGAAGTTTATTAAATACATTTCAGACAGACGGCGTTAAACAATAAATGAAATGATCTGGGGGGGATCTGTTCAAACCACAGCAAAGAAAATAAAATCTTAAAACACATGAGAGACAATATGAGAAACACAAAACAGATATATATTGAAAACAGATCGTTAGTTTGATGGCAAAGTTACGCAGCAGCGGCCACAGAGGCCAAACTGTAAGAGTTTAAAAGAAAGAAGATGTTTTTACAGAAACAGTAAATTATGAGATTTTTAATCTTTTGTGGCACCAACCTGTTCATAACATGAGCAGTAAAAACTGATGTCGTCTCAGCATTTAACGGTTTAATTCTGCACCAGATAGAGTTAAGAATCAGATCTGCAGCAATGTGATGTTACATTTATGTTATACTATGCATCAGCTACGTAGCAACAGGCACCAGAAAAAAAGGGTTTTTATGTTATCTGGACCATTTTAGAGTTAAATGTGATGTCAGTGTAAATCCAGCAGTCATCTGAGGTACAGCAGTTCAAATCAAGGGTAAAAAAAAACATTTTCCAAAATAAATGTTCCGAGTTTAAACTGCTGGAGTGAAGATGTTTGCAGTGAAAAGTGTTTACAGATGTTTCTTTAATTTCCAGCTGGGGTCGGCAGAAATCTGGAAAAGTCTAAAGAAAAAAAAAAAGGAGAAGCAGAATTTGAAAATACACCCTCCTCCTGCAGCTCCCCACTCTGTTTTAAGCCCCTCCTATCAGACAACCACAGGCATAGGCATGCACTTCATACACTAACCCAGTGTTTCCCATACATTGATTTATTCTTGTCACAATGTAGTGTTGCATGCAGCTTAGTGCACAAATGAGACAAAAATTGGCTTTCTGCTACCACGGTAGGAGAGTGGACAACAGTTGTAAGACTGTGCGTGAGCCAGTGCAAACCCCCAAACGCCAGTTGTTACAGCGGGCTGGGGCCCAGCAGCAGCACCAGATCTAATCTGTGTAAGGGCAGCAACAGAAAGTTTGCTGTCCCGTCCCCTGGAGTTGGAGTTTGCCCTGGCTGGATTTGGGTTGCTGTGGCCACTGACTGAGGGTCCGTTTCTGGAGCTGCTGCCCCCTCTCCCTCTGGGGAGGTGGTTTGTCGTGGCGGGGTGAGGTGGAGGACACATTGTGATTCGAGGCTCTAGCTAAAGTTTACTACACAAACGTGAACTTGAGGCTGCAGTCGTGAGCCTTTAGCTCCGGTTAGTAGAAGGCTTAACTTTCTCTAAACACTGATATTGACACGTGTTAAATCCAGTTTATTGTCAGAGCCCTTTTTACATTCTGGTTTTGATAAGTCCGTCTTCCTTTTTTTGGGTTTCTTTGGAGTGAGGCAGGTGCTGCCAACGCTAAAATAGCACCTTTCTCTGCAGGATTCTCTGAGAATGAATCAGGCTTTCACTGAAGGGACATGCACGTGCCTCTGCACCGGTAGAACAGTACATAGGAATGTCCCCTCTGAAATGACGGGCTACATTTTCTAAAGGTGGATTTATACTTGTGCAGCAGAGCCTACACCGTAGCCTGGTCTACGCCATTGAGAGCATCTATACTTATGCAGTGGTGTGTCTGTGTCACTCTGCAGTTACACCTCCAAAACACTAGTGGGCGGTAGAGGTTTCTGTGAAGTGCTGTAAAGTTTAATGTTTGTTTTGAATCAGCTAAACATGGCTTAATAGAGACAATTTCAAACACAAGTACACAAATCAGCTTCACTATAACTCGCAGCATTCACAGACAAACACTTGTCTTTATCTGGACACATTTCCCCCACAAATACAATACGCAAATGTTTACATTGTATGAATTAGCTTAGCAGCTAGTGGACTTTTCCTCTGCTCATATGAAGCCAGGGACAACAGCAACATTTAACAAAGGTAACGTTATAAAATTTGTCTTCATTACAACTCACAAGGTTCACCGACAAAACAACTGTCAAATACAACATGCTAACATTATTAGCATATTTTACATTGTATAAATTAGCCTAGCAATGAGCGGAGATTTCCTCTGCTCAAATGAAGCCAGGATGAATCACACACAAGACTTAAAATGCCATTTTTGTAGAGGCTTTATTGTCTTCACAATTTATTGTTTCTTATCTGTGAAATTAAAGTAAATAACGTAAATTAGAGAAATTTTTCAGCCCACAAAAATAACCAAGAGGTCTGCGTCGCTGCAACGTGTAGTTACATTTATGGGGAGGTGCACGTCAGGCTATGGCGTAGGCTACGGTGTCTATTAGACGCAGAGGTACGAATCACGTTGAAAGCCTGGAAACAGAGACAAGAGGAGGTGCAGAAGTCTAGTTCTCTCTCAGACCACTCAAATTACAATATGCTATGCTAGTCAATTATGGGATGTTTGCCCAATTAAGCCAAAATATAATTGCCTACCCCAGCTTTAATCGTCCAGACTGATTTATTATATTTGCAGTTGGGATACATTTTCTTAAAAGGCTTTCTACCAGAGAGGGATCTCTTGGTTAAAATGAGTAGATTACTGTCAGAAGATCATTCTTTGAGAAAGCCTACAAGGAAAACCTCTCCCATCTCCTCAGTATTTCCCTGCACATGGCAAACACACTGTCTGATTTCTTCCTATCGTTATCCCACAGTGTGAATGCACAGACTAAATAAACATGTCTTAAATATGATCCAGCATTCAGATGGGCTCCGACTGTCAGCAGCAGAAAATGTGTGCAACAGTCAGCAGTGACTAGCATGACTGGCTGCATCTGCAAAGTCAGTCTACAGGATATTTTTAGGTGCTGTAACAAAATCTTAAGATCTTCTCTTTAAGTGAAAAATCATTTACACAAGTTTGCAAATGTTTTCACCCAGGACATCTGGGTCGATCACATCAACACAGGTTATATGTACATTTTTTATATGTTTTAGTACAAAGTACAAGGTGGTTGAAAACGTAACACAAAGTGTGTTTTTATCAAACACTTATTTCTAGTGATAAAATTCAGTGTAGTTTTTGGTTTGAAAGTTACAGTACAGTTTTGATCCTGTACCAACATGGCTGTTTCCATTTAATGTCGGATTTACGTGGCAAAAGAAGGAGCCAATAATCTGTTGTTTTATGTCTGAGGAGTTCCAGCTGTGATTTGTGACTCACGAGCCAAACCATGAGACGCTCAACTCAAGTGACAGGAGAAATTGAGGCCAGAAAATAGAGGGTTTGATTCTGTTTGCCTCCTGGAGCTGACCTGTAATCTGCTCATCCTCCTTTTTTATAACCAAGGCTTTGCTGTGTTTCCCCCTTAAATCCATCTGATCACGGTCTGTGGTTTAACATGGTTTGGAGGCCACTGGAGGGCAGATGACATTTGTCGTCTCATTGGTTAAATCCACGAGCTGTAAAGCCCACTTCAGATCGCTGCTACTTTTCTCTGCAACGTTCTTAAACGGTTTCATCTCGTCCTGAATCACTGGTCTAAACTAGTTTTAAAACAAGATTTACAAGCTCTGATGTCTTGTTAAAAGTCATGAAGTAGTCAACAGATACTTCCTTTAAACCCACTTTAGTTCCATGTGGAATAATCTGAGAGGCTCGCTGTTCTATGACACACACTCAAAGGTATGTCTGCTTTTAATATTAGCTGTCCCTATCTTTCAAAATAAAGGTAGTAAACTGCTGCTTCATAATATTTAGGGGCAAATTTGGTCCAAAAGAGAGATTATGTCAATTTTCTATCAAGTCCAAGCATTAACGGTCGCAGAAAATTCCATCCAAGTGTTAGGAAAAGCAAACATAAGATTGTCTGCAGAAGCAACACGTGATCAAATAAAAGTATTCGGTAATATTTCAGTCGGAGAGTAAATATGTGACACAGCAGTTCCTGGTTTAACTCCTGCCTCACAGAGTGGATGCAGCTCGATCACGGCCTGTTGTGGTCGTCTGTCAGGTTGTTGGTGGGCGTGTCCTGAGAGCTGGCATGTGCTGCGGAGGAGAGGACGTCCTCAAAGCTGCCTCCTGGTCCTGTGCCGCCAACCTTCGTCTGTGGAAAACAGAGACAAATGCATCATGATAAAATGTGCTATCAGCGCTGGATAGTTTCTTTCTCCCTCTGTGCATCGTTGTTGTGCTGCGGAAAAGACTCAAGGTGGCAGACTGGGACAAAGACTTCCACTATCACACACTGTCAGTACGAGGATAAGAGTGATGTTTCATGTTTTTGATGGATTACTCAGCAGAAATTTAAACTTTTCAGGAACATGTTTAAACAGCTTTTGTTTGAGCATCGTCCACTACAGTTCAGTATGTATCTGTGACCTCACCCTGTGGTTTTGAGAGGGTTTCATGAACTTAAAGGGTAATTTTGGTATTTTTTAATCTGGATTTTCCCATGTGTTTGTGTCTAAGTGACTAATGGTAACAACACTTATTGAAATGGGTCCAGTATTGAGTGAGAGCACTTCAGCCGGCTACATAACAGGCTGTAATTTAACCACTCGGGGAATGTTTGCACCGTCAATTTACATCCATCAAAAATGTTTGTTTTTGTTGTTAGAGAGTAAGATCCTTTTTGTTTAACAGAAACAGCCCCGACAAAGTCATAGCCAAAACCACCAGACTCCATTTAAATAAACTGTTATTTTGTCATTGTATAAAAAACTCTTTATTCAAAGTCGACAGAAACAAAATATAACCCTTAATTCACCCAGTTAGAGTAAATATCTGCTGACTCTATACACGCTAAAATTAATGTTTATTTAAATGTAGTCTGGTGGGTTTGGCGATGGCGATTTTGGGGCTGTTTCTGGTTAAACAAAAAGAATTTTACTCTTTAAAAGGTGTGTCTCTGTAGCAAGCCCACTGTCAGGCAGGGTCAAAGGGTGCAGATGACTCCAGCCCAAGGCCAAAGGGGGGCCCATGAAAAGGACCATGGTTCACCCTTAAATGGGATCAAGTAAAACAATATACCTGCTGACTTAAATCACTGGCAATACAAGTTACATGTATTTACATGATAAATAAATGTAACTGTATCATTAAAACACATTTTAAAAAGTAACATCTGGCAGACTGCTGCCTGATTAGCTGAGTCAGAACGCCTCACCAAAAATCAGGAGCACCTAAAGTAAAAGTCAGGCTACAGAGAGAACAAGAAAATGAAAAGAGAAGAGAAGCATCGACCAAATGTCGAGCACAAAAAGTTTGAAGAGGCAGCAGGTGTGACAGGCAGAGTCATTTTAGCCAAATAAAACCTGCTGTATTGGGGTCAGTTTTAAATGTATAATAAAGATGGTATGGAGGGATTATTTGCTAAAAACAACCAGATGTTTTGTGACACGGAAGGGGGTTATTATTTAAGAGGAGAATTTAATTTTAAAAAACAATGTATCTGTACAACTAAGAAGAGTGTGTGTATTTCAGTGTGTGGGGTGGACGTGTGGAATGGGCTGCGTGATGAGTTGAAACAGCACAAATATAAATTAATTTAAAAAACTATTAAAAAAAAAAGATATTTTTGGCAGATACATAAACGGGGGTAGTTGTATATTAGTTGTAAGTAGGGGGTCAAATAATGCTCCAAATTTACATTAAATTTTGGCGAGGGAAAAAGGAACATTGCCATCTTTCAAAATGATGTATTTAAATATTTCTGCATATCATCATCATTTCTTCTTAGCAGTAGATACAAGTAGATACAAAATACATGTAGAAATATGATTAACTGGATTATATGAGGAAGAATAAAAATGTATAGGGACCCCTCCTCCGTGGATGATGGGCCCACTTTTAAAGAAGTTGTCCCCCTTGCCTGTCTTTACTAACAGCTGGCCTGCTCTGCATGGATCTTTCCATAATGTTGTCAGACACTTTTAATAATAATCTGAGCCCGTCAGTGGCAAAAACAATAACTTTTAGCGGACATAAACTGACGGTGTGAACACTGCAGCCTGTTTCGCAGCTGCTGGCTGCAGCGCTCTCCCTCAACGCTGGACCAATTTTAAAAATTGTTGTTCCTATCAGTCACTTAGACACAAAAACATGAGAAATCCAGGTTGAAAAATACAGAAGCCACTCTTTAAAAAGTGTTTGATTTTCTATGAAGGACCCTGTTATCCTGAGATTACATTTAAACTGAAAGTCCTGATGTATTTTCCTCAGTTCTGCATTAAATCATAAATCACATGATGGTCTTAACAGTGTCTATCACAAGGTACAGATGGAAGTATGCGTCTGCTCAGACTGCATCAGGATCAATGTGAACAAAAATAACCAACAGGCTCACTGTAAGAGTCGGGGTGTAAGCTGGCAATTTCCCAGATTATAGTGTCGACTTCTCTCTGGTTCACTGGCATGTTAAAATGTTCAGAGGCAGCAGTCCTGACCTGTTCCTGTCACACAGCTTCCTACTATAGATTAGAACAACACATAGTTTACATACTGTTCATCAGTGTGACTGTCAATGTTTCTGTCAACAGCAGCAGTAAACAGTCAGATGACATGCAGTTAAAGTATATTAAACAAGTTTCTTTGACACTAGATACAAAAATATGGAATTGATGCTTTCAAAATACACTCTGCGTGATATTTTAATGTCTTGAGATAAGTGCGACAGTTGAGACATATTGTGTTTTGGGCTATAATCACTTTATGTATTCCACAACCTGCTGGCAGATTTGAAAGGCTTATTTTCTTCTAATGAATAGCCAAAATTATACATTTATCAGAGTCAGAATCTGTAAATTATTGTTGAGTTTGACAAAAAACATCATAGGACGAACACTTCTGTGAGGAAATGTCACCAAATCAAGGCTTAAAATAGTGATATGCCATCAAAATCACTTTATTTTTCATGTCTCGTTTAATTAATTCTGCAATCCTCAGCACAACTAGGAAGCCATGAGTGACTCGCCTGAGACCAACAGTCACACAGAGGACCAGAGAGGTTGTAAATATGTAAATAGTTAAACATGTACTGCATGTGGATCCCCCCCCCTTTTTCCCCAAATATTGATGACACTTGTGGGAACTTGGAAAAAACCCAACCTGCATTTTTTATTGTATAATTTAAGGCATCATAACTGTTATACTGCACAGAGGACACATTTGAGTTCTCCCTGTTCCTCGCCATGATTGTGCTGTTTCCATTGAGGTGCAGGACTTTTAGATTACAATGAAAAACAAGACCACAGTGAGTTAAATGTCACGGGACCAAAACTGCCCTGAAACTGCTCAGAGTTCAGAGGATTAATAATGCAAACTCTCTCTCTCTCTCTCACACACACTGTTTACCTTAATTGTGGACACTGTAGTCTCGACTTTCTCTTCAAAAGATTTGAAGCTCGGAGAGTTTCTGTAAAGAAATAAAGACATTTTAATTTATAAATCAATAAAAAACTGCATGAAAAATCTGCTGAAATCTAAAATGGTATTTCTGGATATTTGGGATAAAAACTTTGGGATGCATTTTCTATGTAAGGGATAATGTACAGTGAGTGGGTCCATGCTCAGTAATCTTACACTCACTGTTTTAAATCTCAAAGCCTAAACAGGGACAGGGGCTGCAAATTAGCCATGGCTAGAAACCTGTATGCATTGCATCTACTTTGTATTTTGTACATGAAGTAACGTCTTATGCAAATAAATAAAATAAAAGTGTGCAAATAAAACAGCTGCTACTGATGAATCAATAATTTGGCACAAAATATTGATTTAAATGCTTCTGCTAAGCGTCTGTGATCAAAACTCTTGTACCAAGTCTGCTATTCATAAATAACACATTTTAAAATGCTGTAATTAAGAAATGAGTGTTCAACAAAGCCACTTAATAAATATCAGTATTTTGTAGAGGTGTTAAAGAGAACTGAAGACAACAGTATGAGGTGAGAGCAGGTGTAAATACCATGTGAAAACTTCTCTGGTATTTTATTTTTCCAGGTTCCTTCACCTCAGTATCACTAAATAAATGTGGAAGCGGCACATTAAAGAGACAAAAGCAAGCAGGCACAGTGTTTACCTCATGGTGGGCATGCTCATAGAGTGTCTGATAGAGTAGCTGTTCCCAGAGAGCGTGGTGAGAGAGGAGTTAATCATTAGCACAGGTTACACACACAAACACAAAGCCAAAGTTAGCTTCTGCAGAAATCACTGTTTTGGTGTTTCTCTTGTGACATTGTGCTCATTATTCAGAACAGGGAGGAAAGGGTCAGTCTGAAAAATATGCACTGGTTTAGCAGGAAAGCTGATGGTTCTACTGGGAGAGAAACAGAGTAGGTAACATTTTCAACCTCGACTCAGACAAAAGGATATTTACATCTCCGGTATGACATCATAAAGGGCTGTGACTGAATATTAATGTCAAAATGGTCAAAGTTAAAGAAGCCGTCATGTTGTTACATCAGTTTCAGCCTGCACTGGTTTAGCTTTAGCACATTCCTGCAACTGGGAAAGTTCAAGACGCGTTCACATGACTCCTTGAGACAAGTTGTTTTGGCACAATAATCAATTCGATTTGATCCTGAGCTGAGACAAGAGACTGACTGAGGACTGCAGTCCAGCACGGCAGCAGCATTTACTCAACCAGACTCAGCCTACTTGTCTGAGTTTAACACTGTACCCAGTCGTCAGTGCTATCAGCCGATCTGACTGAGGTCGACTGAGTGAGTGAGGAACAGCTAATGCCTCATTTTTACTCCATGCTTCGTCTCCACTCGACTCACTTTTGGTACCAGAAGCTTTAGATATTAATGCCTCAGGCCCCGATCACACAGAGAGCGTTACGCAGGTTGCAAGCTCTGGTTGAGGGTGAGAGGCTGTCAGCAGATAAACAGAGATCTGTGTGGGTACATGAGATCCTAAAAAAGAGGGTGGATCATGGGGAGTACCTCCAGTTGGTCCAGGAGCTTCACCTCCATGATGGATGTTTCCAGGCATATTTAAGGATGCCTCAGGGGCAGTTTGACAACCTGCTGTCTATCATTGGGCCGTATAGCTCTGGGTATCCAGCACCCACTACCACCAGTTTCTCCTCCATTGTTTACCAACTGTAAACTTGTTGTTGTGACCACCACAGAAGGCCCACCTCTGAAATCATCCGACTGGACAATGGGAAAAAGATTACGACAAAAGAGATGACATGGGGTGTTTTTTCAAATCGAGGAGTTCAGAGTGCACCAGCAAAAAAGCTTTCTGTGTGATCGGGGCCACAGACTGCAATGGCGACGCCGTGTGAAACGTATGTAAGACATAGTCTTCAACGCAACACTCTCAATCCTTTTATCGGCAACCACACAGAAGAACGTCTGCACTTCATCGACTGTATAGTGTAGTTTTAAAAAATCTGGGTTGAGTGAACAGAACATTGTGGTTGCCATTGACGGGAGCTTTGCTATTTAAAAAAGGCGGTTTGTTCAGGATGTCCTGCGTCATGCTCATGACAGTTCTGTCTGACCAATCAGTGGTCTGCAGTGTTTCAACTTTACCTTCTAGAATCAGCTCATCTTGCTTAGACCTTCAAACGAGGCGATACTAAAAAAAAAAGTACCAGGTGCTATCCACAAATTTTGTCAGTAGAAAACCGAAACGAAAAGTTCCAGGAAGTGAGTCCAGTCGAGTGGAGTCGTCATTATGTGACATGGGGCCTTTCCAAAACCAGACCCTACCCACTCCCACTCCATCGCTGAGTGTAACTCTGTTTGTAGTCACCATACAGCTGGATGAAGCTCCTTTATTAAGGTGTGGGGGGATAAACACAGCCGTAAGCTTTGGGACAAACTTCCTTCTCTACTGCAGAGGAAGAGGAACTGTTGTAATTTCTCATAACCACGGAGGAAAGTAAAAATGTATTTGTAGCACTTATATTTAATCTGTGTGTGCTGATATTGTTTACTTTCATTTTTGGATATTGTGTTTTTATCATTAAAAGAAATAACTTGATGTTTGTAAGTTGCTTGGATTTTGTAACAGTTCTTGTAAATATTCAGCACTACAGTCAAAAGAACGTGACTGTTTTCTAGAGACAAGAGAAGGATATTTCATCCTAAATACAATGTAACCTTTAAGATGTTAACGTTTGTATGACAATAGGCCTACAAATGTCTAACTTACGTTTGAGAAGGTTACGTTTGGAAGGGTAGTCACGGAACTTTATTTGTACAGAGCATCTTCCATGAAGAACACAATACAGCGTTGCACATGGTCAGTAAGTCGGCATCGGTGCAGCCTCGCTATCGGAGGGTTTTTTGACTCACTTCCACTCCTCACTAGTTGGTTTGGGAAGGCACTTAATGTCCGTGTGAACATGGACACAAAGTGAAAGTGGGTAGGGACAGGGTGTAGGAATGTGTTTGGAAAAGGCCCGTAATCAGCTGTGTGGTTCTTACCCTATAGAGTTGGACCTTGGGAAGCGTGGAGGAAGATGGGAAACATTTTTATGATACTGTGACAGACAGGCCGTGTAGAACATTTATACTACTAATAAAAAACATTTCACTATGAAAGCTAAACTAATGAACAACTTCACTGCAGACACCTGGGGAACTGGATTATATGACGTGTACAGACGTGCTAACAAAAGGAAATGTTCTACTGAGGTTGAACATCCTGAACACACAAAGACACAGATAAAGGAAACCTAAATCAATGCAGTGCTTAATTTGTAAATCAGGAGGTGCTGGAACAGACAGGCTGCGGATCCGACAGGTCGGGAGGAGGAAAGGGTCACAGATCGCATCTACAGCAAAGCGCCTGGAGCACAGTCAACACCTGGGTGCTGCTGTGCTCAAACTAAACAACTCTATGTGCCGTGCACCTGCATAAAATGCAGATAAAAAAAATCATACTGCGATTATTGTGACAGACACTGCGGTTATGATATGAGTCACGATGTTAGTAGGATTGGTAATTTTTGCGTTTCATTTTTACTTAAAAGAATATAAAAATGATGATGTGATCAAACATGTTCTCTTACATCTGGAATATGATCTATAGTCCGGGGCATCTCTGAAGCACCACAATGCTTCATTTCATGACATGTAGTGAAACATTTTACCTTTTTTTTTTATTTTACCAAAAACCTGCAGCTCCTGCACCCTCAACAACACCTCTTGTTGCCAAGGGCTTCCTAATGCAGATTGCAGTAGCTCAAATGCAGAAAACTTCCTGACCTAAGTGACTGACCTCTCTCTTTTCTAAAAACAAACCTGATTTAAAATGCATCCAAAATTGGCAAACAATACTTCACAGAAATTATAAACAGTTTTTGATGGTGACACAGGAGGTTCAGTTGAATCTAACAGGTGCTGGTCCTGATCTGGGTGGTCCCGGATCGTGTTCCAGCAAGATCCGGCACAAATTAAGCTTTGAATCAACTAGAGTCAATGATTACCGAACATTTTGTATACAAAACAAATATCTATGTGATCACACAGACACACACAGCAGATACAAGAACAAAGACTCAGAGTTAGTTGTAAAGCAGTTGGAAGAGAAACACTGTTCACACTGTGAAAAACTGGATTTTTAACTGCACAAAAATCACAAATATTTAGATAAATGGTTGGATAGATAAAGATACATACGCAAATCATGATATGCTGTATCCACTGAGAATTAAACTTCAGTTTGAAGTTGGTTAAATATTTGATACGACAAAATGACATGCAAGAACACACTTCAAACGTCCACAGCAAAACATAAAAACCAAACCAAAACCTGTGCACACCATGAGCCATAAAGCACAAAGACATACCTCCGAGGGAACAGAAACTCTAGACCAACCATGCTGCAATAACCAAAGATAATGTTTTATTTCTGCACTTCCACAAACACACAATGAGCTGCAGTTACACACAACTAACAATACTCCATTTGTCTTTACAGTACAGCCACTGTCAACACATCACAGTCTCCATGGGAAATATGGTGCTCATGTGCTTTCTTACGATGCCAAAGATAGTATCAAAGTTGCAAATGAAGAGCAGAGAAAATCCAAATGAGTTTCATTTAAATGTCTGTAACTGACTTACACTGAACTCTTTCTGCTTACATGCACCAACATACACTGTTTGTTGACATGTCCCTGTCCCTCCAATCAGCTTTGTTCACTGACCTTAAACAGCTTCTTGTGCTTTCCTCTGCACATACATGAAGTCACACAGGCCCACATTCTCCAGCTCTCTCTTGTCATCACACACACAAGCGCTCTATTTATTTCACACAGAACAATGCAGGCTGCCTCACAGACTTTGTGTTGTGTTGACTTGCAGTGTCTCAAACGGAGCAGCACACAGCGACAGGGAGGCGAAGACACGGAGGAAGAGGAAGAAAGTGACGGAGGAGCACAGACTTCGCCTCTGGCCCTTCAGCTCCCACAGAAAGCAGCTTAATGTGGAATTACATAATCTCAATTTCCTCTGAGCTGATGGAGCACAGAGCCAAAACTCAGAGAGGGGGACAGGGACAGATAGAGCAAATAAATGAGTCTGGGAATTGGATAAAAGTGTTGTAAATGGGTAGTCTGGATATGTAAATGTGTTGATGATGGAGCTTTATGATGGGTGAGACACAGTTGTGGCTGCTAAAGACACATTTCCTGACTCACGTCACAAAGAGAAGCAACTGTCCACAGAGCAACCAAATTCAGTGGGTGATTTGTGTCCACACTGTTTGCATGATATATTATCTTATCCTAAATAATGAGGATATGACATCATTGTGTACCTCATATCCCCGAGCTTCCTGGTGATGGCGCTGCCCAGTGTGCTGAAGGCGGCTGAGGTCTTCTGTCCTGCTGTGGACAGCGTCTCTGATGTCTTCTTATAACTGAGACATAAAGAAGATGCATTCAAAATATGTCTATTTTATACACGCATACATGCACTGAACTTAATACAGTATTCATAAAAATGTGTACAGATGCATACTGTCTGATGGAGGCAAACATGTAAACATAAACACATACATCATTTAGAAGGGTCAACCTACCTACAGAGTGGCTCGCAAATCATGGATATACTACTATAAGAGAGGTGTGACAGGGCATAATGAATACAATTCCGTGAGTAAGGTTGAAGGTTGAAATTGGGGGAAAATATGCCTATGCCCATCATATCTCAAACCTATACATCACAATCAGTATGTCTCTTCTTTACACTGGTACATATATAGTGTCCATATACATGCCCCACGTCAAGAGACATTGTTCTCTTCTGTCCTGCATCCTCTACAACATCCTTTCATATGCTGCTACTTTGCCTAATTCAGTCACTCATTCTTGAGAAGAAGGTTCTCCAGGATTCTCCACTGGCTCCCGGTCCATTTTCGTATTGATTTTAAACTCCTTTTAATTGTTTTTAAAGCCCTCAACGGTCTGGCCCCTCTGTACCTCTCTGAGCTCCTTTTGCGCCACACCCCAACCAGAACCTTAAGGTGTTCGGACCAACTACTGTTGGTGGTGCCAAAAACCAGACTAAAGTCTCGAGGTGACAGAGCCTTTGCAGCGGCTGCCCCCAGGCTCTGGAACAGCCTCCCCCTTCACATTCGATCGTCCCAGTCCCTTGAGACTTTTAAATCCTCCCTAAAAACCTTTCTATTCCACCTGGCGTATCATTCAGCCTGAGCACGATGATCTCAAGTTGTTGTTGTTGTTTTGTTTTTTTTAAATTGCTATTTTAATGTTTGCACTGTTTGCTCTGTCTTTTTATCGTTGTTTTCTACATCTATTTTATTTTTGTTATTGATGTTGTTTTAACTCTGTACCCCCAATGTGCAGCACTTTGGTCGACTGCCGTCGTTTTAAACGTGCTCTAGAAATAAATCCTGACTTGACTTGATTCTTTCAGTTCTTGAGAATGATATGCCGTTCACTATTTCAGTGGTTGGGGAACAGCAGACAACACATTACAGTCTCCTAATATACATTGCCTTTTCATGACATTGACAATGTAACAGTGAATCTTCACCCAACACTGATTAATATTAGACTATGACCATAGCACATGTATCAGTGCACCTTCATCCATACAACACCCCCAACAAGTAGCTGAGTCTCTGAGACATTGTTCGAGAGTTACCACAAATCTTGGCCCATTCCTGTTCATCAAATGAGGAGGGTCTCAGAGCTGAAACACCTTTATCTCAATAGCTATTTATTTTTTAATCCATCCATCTTCATCGGCTTATGCGGGCCAGGTAACAAGGGCAGCAGGCCAAGCAAAGCACCCCAGACATCCCTCTCCCCAGCAACGCTTTCCAGCTCCTCCTGGGGGACCCCAAGGCCTTCCCAGGTTACATGTCTAATCCCTCCAGCGTGTTCTGGTTCTGCCCCGGGGCCTCCTACCAGTGGGACGTGCCTGGAACACCTCTAATGGGAGGCGCCCAGGAGGATCCTGATCAGATGCCCGAACCACCTCAACTGAACCCATTCGAAGCAAAGGAGCAGCAGCTCTACTCCGAGCTCCCACCGGTTTCCAGCAGAGAACCATGGCTGCAAAACGCGCCAGTGCCTGCTGGAGGTCATGGTGTGATGTAACCAGCAGAACCACATCATCTGCAAAAAGCAGAGAGGGAATTCTGAGGTCCCCAAGCTGGACCCCTTCTTCCCCCCGGCTGCGCCTCAAGATTCTGTCCTTGAAAATCACAAACAGGATAGGTGACGAGGGACAACCCTGGCGGAGGGGAACACCCACTGAGAAGGTGTTTGATTTACGCCGAGTATGCAGACACAGCTCTCACTTTGGTCATACAGAGACTGGATGTCTCTTAGCAGCGTACCCCGTAGTCCTGTTGTACCTCCCACAAGACTCCACAAGGGACGTCGTCGTAAGTCTTCTCCAAGTCCACAAAACACATGTAGACTGGATGGATGAACTCCCACAACCCCTCCAGCAGCCTGATTTTTTAAATTTTCACAACAAATGTTGATACTGGATACAGATATTGTTTTTCTGTTTTGCTCCAGTGTGTTTGTGTAGCCTGTCCTCTTTCCAGGTTACATGGTGGAGGAGGTTGTATAGCTCAGACTTAGCCTGTTTGCCGACACCTGGAAGCTGCCTGGCATCCTCTTGGATCTGTCTTTTTCATAAATGTTCACATTCTATGAACCAGTTTGTCATTTGGATATTCTAAATTGTTACTTTATGTTGGTCTGTTCTGCACACGTGACATCTATTGCACATCTGTCCATCAAGGGACAGGTATCCTTCCTCAGTTGCTCTTCCTGAGGTTTCTAGCAATTTTTTCTGGGGGGAGTTTTTCCTCTTCCCCTTCGAGGGTCAAATAAAGGACAGAGGTTGTTGTATGCTTTACAGATTATCAAGCCCCCTGAGGCAAACTGTCATTTATGATACTGGGCAATAAAAATAAAATTCCCTTGACTTGACACAACCCTTTTGTTTACACTGGCATGAACTTCCACACATCTGTGTTGCCCTGCTTCTCTGGGATGTTACACTGCTGCTGCCACACTGGTTCATTATAGATGAGGATGGCAACTGTGTGTGTAAAGTGATCTTCAGGTTGAAGTGTAACAGGATAAGAAGCGAGGCCTCTGGAGAATATCGCCTTGCTCTTCTCTGTCTCTTGGTGTCTGGGTAAGAGCTCGTAGCTGACGGTCTAATGAGGAAATTTGATTATTTCTTTGCACACTTAAAAATACAGAAACTGTCCTTGTTACAGATGTTTTTCACTGCTGGTTATACAGTACAATCATCAGGACATGTTCAGATGTGTCATGAGGTCAACGACAGCCTTGTGATGGGTTTCCTAATCAGGTTTATGATGTCTGTTGCAGTGAGCGTGACAAAGATAACAAATGCGGTGCAGCTCGGAGCAGGATTATGTCTTTTTAATTGGGTTTCTGATATCTGTGTTTATAACACACTTCGTTCATTGAGTGGTGCTACTAGATGTTAAAAAACAGAACCACCTGCTCTTTGTGTGTGTGTTCACATGTGTGTGTGTGTGAGTCCTGTAAAGATCATCTATGTTGACAGCAAACAGAAAAGCCATTCTGTCCTGTGCTGAGGACACAAACACTTTATCACACCTTATCTTTAACTCCATCAAATGTCTTTCTTTCTCCCTGAGCTGTCTCACAGATACACGTACACATTAACTTACGCTGTGGATGTCTGCATGTCGTGCCAGCCTTTGCTGAAGTTGTTTCTGAGCTCGCTCAGAGAGGTCATACCCAGTTTCTGTTTGAGCTCGGCGTAATGCTTCTCTTTGGATGACAGAACCTGCTTCAACGTGCTGATCTCCTCCTCCAGCTACACAAACACAAAAAGACAAAGAGCTACTTAACTACTGTCATACCATCAACACTTCTTGTTCTGTCTAAGCTTTAGAACATGTGTGTGTGTGTGTGTGTGTGTGTGTGTGAGAACATACTTTAATTAGCTCTTGCTGAATCTCCTCTCTCTCCTCTTCCGTCAAGCTGGAGTTGTTTAAGTCGACTTCTGATGCCATATCTTCGTCAGCCTCCCTCAGTGGCTCAGAGTCCAGGAACCCTGAATGATACACACACACGTTAAATGTTCACACTATATTTACACTTCTGTGTGACCTGTAAATAAAGTTCTGTTTCTGATATCTCATCATTTATAGCAAAAAAAAAATATATGCATCTGCTCCTGGAATCAAACACATTAATTTGTCATGACTTTTGACAAGCTCTTGTTCCTATCAATACTCTTACTGTGAGCTGCTTTGAACAAAAGTGTCCAGGGTAATTTTTATTGGTGTTGGTAAAGAGATTAAAGCTGGGGTAGGCAGTTTCATTTTGGCGTCATTGGGCAAAAATCCCACAATAAACTTTGAGCATATTGTCTTTTAAGTGGTCTGAGAGAAATCTGGACTTGTACACCTTCTCCTGGCTCTGTTTTCAGCCTTTAGAAAATCTAGCCTGGACTTTGGCCAATCACAGGTCATTTCAGTGAGAGGACATTCCTATTGGCTGTTCTATAAATGCAGATGCACGTCCCTTCAGCCTGATACAACGGCGGAGAATGCTGCAGAGAAAGTTGTCATTCCAACATTGGAAGCAACTCCCTGCACTGCAAAGAAACGCTTAACAAGAAGACAGACTTATCAAAAAAAGAGAGTCTAATGCCAAGTTCACACTATACGTTTTCAGCCTGATTATAGCCTGACGCGGCGTCGTACTGTGCCGACTCAGATCGTGAATGACAATGAGTGTCATACGCGATAATCCATTGTTTCATCTCGTGCAGTGTGTCATAGTAGACGACAACCATGTCTGGGTCACCGCACAACATTCTGACAGAGAGACTAGCATGTTTGATTTTCTTTTTGTCGTTCACGACTGCGCCCGTCGCAGCCGTCACTTTGACCAATAGAAACACCGAGCTGTCTGCTGCCATAGACAAGTGTGCAGCAACAACACCCCAGCCTTTTTACATACTTCGTCCAACGTTACCACAACAGAGGCACTATAGCAACCTGATACTCCTCATAATGGAGGATGTAAAGGGATATAATTCACAAATTTACTGCAGAGGCTACCAGCTTCATTTGAAACAGACTACATTATAAACAGGCTGTTGTTCATTATTCCCTTTGTATTTTTATATTTTCATATTTAATTAACTCCTGTTTGCCTTGATAAAGTTAATGCATCACGCCGTCATTTCTAACTCAACACTTCCTAAATCTGTTTAAAATTAAAAGACCCTTAAAATGTCAGTTGAGAGAATCCCTTCATTTTCTAAAAAGGCTTTTATTGTGAAACATTTGCAGGAATTTGTTGTGGAGGAATCAGTGAATGGCATTTTTACATGCGGTACTTCAAATGTCACTGCTGACATCTGGTGGCGCTTTATACGTTACTACAATAACATTGCGGCTGACACGTGAACAGCCACAGTGACTGAAATAATAGTAATAATTATAAAAACAAGACAAGAATAACCTGATGAAATCACACACGTCATGAAAGACGGCCGGGGATAACTGGTGTGTACCATCGTGTAGTGTGTCAAGTCTGGCGGCCAAGTCACAGCACAATTTTATGACTCCACAATTACGTAATCTGACACAGTGACAAAAATGTCATGTAGTGTGAACCCGGCATAACAATGAACAAAATAAAACACGTGTCAGTAGCAGCAAAGCATTTCAGAGATGGAGAGAAAATGTTTAGCTCACGGCTGCTGCTTTAAATTAAGATATATGTAGCTAACGTTAGTGAGAGGCTCGAATTACAGTGTGTCCTCCGCCTCGCTCCCCACTGCTGTACAATCCACTTCACTGGGAAGAAGGCGGGCAGCAGCTCTGGAATGGAGCCCAGAGAGTCAGCGGCTGCAGCAACTGCGCAAACCCCCAGCTCCGGGGGAACCAGTTCGCCCCGGCTCCCCCCAGATCAGCAAACTTTCTGTTGCTGTTGTTACACAGATTAGACCTGGCACTGCTGCTGGTCACCAGTCTGCTGTGACACTCAGCACTGGGGGTTTGTGCTGTTCAAATTTGAGCCACTACAGCTACTGAAGGTCCATCTCATGAGCTGCTGCCTGCTCTTCTCTCGGGAAAGTCGTCCACAGCAGCAGGGAGAGTTTGCTCGCTGCAGGGTGGCTAGCTATCTGATTCTTGTCTCATTAATGGTTTGATAAACAGGAAAGGGAGAGCAAGGAAAGGGCAGGGTGAGCAAATGAGCTGTATGCAACTGTATAATGAAATAAGATTAAGAAAATCAATGTATGAGAAACGTTACTGTATTAAGCGTGTGCATAGGCTAGTGGTCATCTGGTGGGAGGGGCTTAAGGACAGAGAGGAGGAGGAGGAGGGTGTATTTTCAAATTCTGCCTTTTCCGTATTTCTGCCTACCCCAGCTTTTTAACTTTCTTCTACATTAAATGCATTATCAGAGATCTCCTGAAGAACTGTTCTGTGGACACGTCAGATGTTTAGATCTACTAAAGATATTTCTAAAAGAACGTATCTGTCCCTTTGCCTTTTGTTGTTTGTGTGACAGCCCCTATGTCTGAGTCACATGTCTGTCTGTCTGTCTGTCTGTCTGTCTCTGTCTCACAGTTATGTAATCTGTGGCGGCAGGCTGGAGAGCTCTAATCTGGATTAACTGATGAGGATTATCTTGCTGACGGACACTACAGACTCCCACAGACACAAACAAACAAGATGCTGATTCTGAGAACAGATTGACTTTAAAAGCTGCAATATTGGATTTTGGTGGAACCAAAATTAAACAAATTGTGTTTTTCATTATATTCCAAAAAAACCCTTTTAAAATCACAGGCATGAATACATATCTACACAAAATATTCCCAAAATTAATGAATATTGCTGACTTCAGAAAATCTGCATGACAGTTTTATATTAGAAATGCCTTCTTTTACAGATTTAGAAAAGAAGTCTTTAGAAGATATTCACTTCTGTCTCTCACAGAAACACTTCATTATACACTTTAACACTCTATTTAGGTCTACTTCTGGAAACAGCACTGATTGTACACATAATTACCCACACACTCTGGATGCTTAACTACACCACGACATGCGCATTTAAGAAAAAAAACATTTTAAATCTCCATAAATGAAACATTGCTGCCTTCATAGAGCAAGGAAGCTGAAATCATCATTGTCAGCTGATCGGCATCAGCTGACTCTAATATATGATGCAGTAAATACATTGAACCCATTAAGTCTCAGAATAGTGACTTTTTTCCTCAGAAGTTGCAATATTCTGCACGTGATTGAATAATGTCCAGCGCGGGAGCACATTTAAAACTGTTTCCATCTGATTAGCCTTCTGTTGTTGCAGGATGTTTGTGGAAGGCAAATCAGGACGGACAGGTACCACACAGCACCAGGCTACAGCAGGACGACCGTGTACACACAACACAAGAAATGCAAATACATGTAGGTCAATGTGCCACTATGTTTGTAGTGAATCTGTGAACAATTTGGATGTACAACACACAGTTTTAACATAATGTAAAATGATTACTGTACCTGCTGTGAGGTGTCCTCTCTCTTGATGTGGCAGCATTATAAGACAAGAGAGGTTACGGTTAGCAAAAACTGATAGTAAATGAACAATGCTGTCAACTGTAAAGTAGTCACTGCAACACAATTCTGTAGTTTATTTCTAAATCTAAGGGGCTCAGCACCACATGCAGCACACACATGCACATTTCACACCAGTATAGCTTGCAGCACTACAGCCAGCACAAGGCCTTTCTATAGTAGGGAGCTATTTCTGCATACACCACACAGCAGCAGGACAATCAGATTTTTAAACCCCCTGTGGCTAAGATGTAAGCTTTTCAAGTCTGTTAGAGTGCACGGAGGACTCAGAGCAAGTCTTTTTTCATGTTCACACAGCCATGAGGAGACCTTAAAAATGCCAGGAAGAGCAATTCATTTAAACGTTTACTCCCAGTGTAAATTCAGTATTAACTGGAGGAAGGTAATTACAATGAAACATTAACTGTTTTATTAATTAACTCAAATAAAACATTAAAATGCACTTGAGAGATGGATGCAACATGCTAAGAACTCACACATCCACAACACCACATTAACCATTACCACTTACATCAGTTTTGTTAAGTAATGTTCACACTATTAAGCTTGTTTTTCAAACTGTTAGTGATGTTATGACAATACTGTTGCTACATTCAGCTTAAGATAAGTAACATGTTGCAAACACAGTTAGTTTCTTTTTATCTAACACAGGTTTTCTTTTGGCTAATGCAGGTTTCCTCTTAGCTACAGCAGGTTTCATTTTAGCTAACGCAGGTTTCCTCTTAGCTACAGCAGGTTTCATTTTAGCTAACGCAGGTTTCCTCTGAGCTACAGCAGGTTTCCTTTTAACTAACATGGGTTACCTTTTAGCTAACACTGATTTCCTCTTAGCTATGGCAGGTTTCTTTTGTAGCTAACGCTGGTTTATGTTTGGCTAAGGCAGGTTTCTTTTGAGCTAATGCACGTTTCCTTTTTATATTTGGCTTCAATAGGTTTACTTTTAGCTAACACAGCTTTCCTTTGAGCTAAGGCAGGTTTCCTTAGAGCTAACACAGGTTTTCTTTTAACGAATATAGACTTACTTTTGGCTAAGGTAGGTTACTTTTTAGCTAACACAGGTTTACTTTTAGCTAACACAGGTACCCTTCTAACAATGGTAGGTTGAGTTTTAGCTAGGCAAGGATTTCTCTCAACTAATGCAGGTTTACTTTTAGCCAAAGTAGCTTTTTTTTCTTCTTCTTAGTATTACAGATTTACTTTTTGCTAAGGCAGGTTTCCTTTTAGCTAACGCAGATTTGCTTTTAGCTAAGACAGGTTTACTTTTAGCTAACACAGATTTCTTTTGAACTAACACAGGTTTTCTATTAGCTATACTATATTCAAAGGAAAATATAAGACTGTTACAGCACATGTGACATGAAGGCATTTTGGCCTCTACAATTCAGAACAGGCTTTGACTGTTTGTTAGGGAAGTTTCTATCAAGTGTCTGAAACATGGATGTAAGAAATGTTTATGAGTCTCATGTATCACAGTTTGTCACTTTGGAGACAAAAGGCACAGTGTGTAACATCAAGCTGCCTCTTACAGTATATTATCAACACCAATGATAGCATTGTGCATTATCTTATATAACATGAAAACACACCTTGAAGATCTCATGGTCAAGCTTAAAATAACATTACAAGAAATTAGATGTTGGTTTTGAAAGATCATCCCTGGCATTTGCACTACGATACACTGCTGCATTGCCAATTGCCAGGAATGTAAGGAATGCTGAAAGTAGTTAATGATCCCAGTCAAGGTTCACTGCATAAAATCAGTTAGCTCAGATCCTAAGCTCTCCAATAAACTGGGGGTGGATCAGAGAGAATTTTAAGGTCACAGGCAACATTTTAAAGCAATGTGAACAGGCAACTTTGCCAAAAGCTGCTATGATCATCTTAGCATATGCTTTTTGCTCCTTTTAAACAAGTACGTTTATTCACAGAGTTTGCCATGTACATTGCTTCAAAACTTGCTAATGCTACCTGTGTAAACTTTTAGTAGCATTATGATTTAGGACATGTATTCACATATGAACCAGGATTTTAGATACTGAGGTCACGAGTTCAAGTCCCCTCTAACACATAAGCTACCACACCTCTCAGAGTACCAAAAACAAGGAATATCTCATTGGATATGTCAAGTTTATCTTCATTTAGGCCCAACATGGTCTACATTTTAATTAAACCCCAATCCAAAACACCAAGACTGCCCTGGTGGGGAAATACTGAATCCTTTTTAGCTTACTTATTGGTTGGCCGAAAAGTAGTCAAAAAATAGGTCTAACGATACCTGAATCTGACTTTAATGTAGAAAACTGTGGCATTTAATTCCTCTACGCTGCTAAATAAAACCCAAATTGCAAGATAAACACAAAGGACTTGACCTCAGTGTCGTTGGTGGCAGCTATATCTATAGGGTGGCTACAGGTTCCCACAGAGGTCAGTTATGTTAAGAAGTAAATGTTCAACTAAAGTTTAAGACTGTCTAATCTACAGGCTCTAGTCTACGTCCCTTTTCACCTGTGCTGTCCAGTTGCATATCCCAAGTGGTGGACATGACCCAGTTGTCAGATTGGGACACTGATGTCTGACCCCACTGATCGTCCCCTGACGGTGAAGTTTTACCCCATTCTGTCAGGGTTTTCCCATTCTGGGCCACTGGAGCCAAGTCGTCACCGTATGAGCTCCTTCTAACCGATTCCTCACCAGAGGGGTTAAACACACCCTGATTCAAACCTGAGCAAAGTTACAGTTGAATACAGTTTCAGTATCTTAAACATAAAGTGCTTGATTCATCTTATTTTGAAAGTGATGAGTAGTGACAATAAAGTTTAACTGACAAAAACAATTTCAGGAAGTTTCATCTGATTTGTACGTTTTACATGAGAAGTCTTAGCCCCTGAAAAATAATCAATGAATCATTTGTTACTGAGAAAAATCCATATCAGCATTTAAAGTGTCAATAGGCTACTTGTATTCTATGTGGCCCTAAAAAATGTATATTGTTTTTCAATGTATCCCCTTACATGTGCTTGTATACACACTGTGATCACAACCAGGCAACTCCCAGTAGTTTTATGGCATGTCAACTGGTTTCAGTAATTTTATTAATTGAACTGAATTTGTACCACTAAAGTACAATATCCTCTAATCCTAGACCTGAATAACTGGTAGATTTTGTAGCTGTCTAGTAGACAGTTTGGTTCAATTAGACCATATGCAATATGAAGAGCATCAAATATCAGATTGTATAAAAGGGACAGTTCAACCCAAAATCAAAAATACATATTTTACTTCTTACCTATAGTGCTATTTATCCATCTAGATTGTTTTGGTGTGAGTTGTCTAGTTTTGGATATGTCTGCCTTCTCTCCAATATAATGAAACTAGATGGCACTATAAAATACATTTAAAAAACTCAACATCAATGTCTCTTTCCAGAAATCATGACCTGCTTACTCATGATAATCCACGGACCTTATTGTGAGCAGTTTCATGTAGGAACTGTTTTCTTTCTACTGAACTACACCCACCAAATGCCCAGAGGAAGAAAGGCTCTGAGATAATATAATCTTCTGCCTTCCGCTTAGAAATGATGAATTCAAACTCACAGCAAGTTAATATGACACAGTCTCTGGCTTATGTTTGATATCTAGTGTCAGCAAAGAATGATGATAACCTCTCTGAGCATATTAAACTAACATAGCTTACTTGGCTTGTTCACCATGTTACGTGAACGTCACTGTCGCCCTGAATGGCCCTGCGAACCACATTTAAACTCTGAAACTCTACAGGGCAAAAAATTAATAGTTGAATAGTCAGATATTTTACTATCCGATTCGACTGACATAACTGTGAGTCGGGTACAGCCATTTCCTACATGAAGCTGCTCACAACAAGGTCTGTGGATTATCTTGAGTAACCCGGTCGTGATTTCTGGAAAGAGACATTGATGTTGAGTTTTTCAAATGTACTTTTTTTTGGCGCTTTGAGCACCACAAGCTGAGTGCCATCTAGTTCCATTATATTGGAGAGAAGGCAGACATCTCTACAGCTGATATCTAGAAGCCTACTCGGACCCTGTGTTAAATCACCCCTGAATGGTCGATTTATTCTAACGTAACAAATATTTAATTGTAATATTTCAATACTGTAAGACCACACTCACCCACTCTACCAGCAGTTAAATCAACACTGAATCACATGAGGAAGAAAACTGCTGCTGCACTGATCTTAATATAAAAAACATTCAAACACGCTGCCCCAGTCTGTGATGTCATTTTTCGATCAACAGCTGACGTCACTTCCGGTGATTTGCTCTGCATGCAGCAGCATTTTAGCACCCTGTGATTCAATGTGGATTTATGTTTTGTTTCATTCTGGGGGAGTTGAGTCTTACCCTGCTCTCCCTCGTGTGTGGCTGAGTTAACCCATTCCTCTCCAGGACCCATGCTGCCCCAGTCCACCACTGCATCACTCAGAACATCAGAGTACAACTCTGCAGCAGAGCAAGGCAGCAGGGCGAGAGGAGACAAGAAGACTGGTTATATACTGTACACATGCACAAACACACACACACACACATAAACACACGAGTCACCCCTCTTGAGGGACTTGGTGTGTCTCCAGCGTCCATCCCGGCCCTGTCAGTAACTTGATAACAGTGAGGTCTGTTTTGTTAGAGGCACTTTATCTGAGTCTGCATTCGCACAGGAACAGGAAGTCTGATTTCTGACCCTCTGTGGCACAGATATGAACTCCTCGGAGCTGTTTAAACAGGATTTAGCTGATTCTTGCTGTTTAAAAAAAAGCCGGGGAGCAAATCTGTGCCCCACAGAGATAACAATGAGATCTTTTGTAACAATTAAGCAAGAATATCCAAAGTTATTGAGCAATTCAAGTTCTCTGGATGCTGATGAAATCTCATTACACCATACACAGGCAGTCCAAGAGGAAGCAGACCGGCTTAAGGCCAGTTCTGTTTCACTAACAGTGATTTCCTCCTGGTTCCACAGTTTTACTTCTGTGTTTAGGCTCATAAAGCACTCTTATGGGAAAGTAAAGCTCACAGATTTCAGTATGAAACATAGACACTAAAGGTAGCGTATAATATAATTCAAGTGTATTGAGTTTACATTACACTGATTTAAAGAAAAGCTTTTAGACTCTATGTTTTCAAGGCTCTTTCCTTCCCTGAAATATTGAAGGTCACATTAAGCTGCATAACGTTGACATTTGAATTTGAAATCAACACTCAAATGCTGTGCAGCTTCTCATTTATTCTGTTCAAACCCTGTATTTGGCTCAGTTGCAGATAAAAATAAGGCTACACAAATAATATTAGTATTATACTATTTGCCGAATTAGATTCCAGTGGTAACTGTGTAGGATCATTTTTGACTCGTGGCATTGTGACATTTCCAATAACACCAGAAGACTGTACACCCAGAAGTCATAATTGATTGAAAAATTCACATTTTTATCAAAAGAAATATTCTGCTTTAGTCCATATTTGAGGGTGTTTAACCTTTCTAAAACAACATTTTCACTGCAGTCAAAAAATTGTTTGCTCTCCCTCTTGCCGCACACAAGAAGAGGCACGCATCTGTATTAACGTGGCAGTCTAGCAAAGGTTTGGGTGGTGTCAAGGCGTTGCGCCTTGTTTCCACTTATGTATGTGACTAGTGTTGTAGGTCCGTAAATATATGGATGATACCTCTAGTTAACAGTCTCCCCAAAATCCACTGCAAAAGTTCAATATTTTGAATGAACTTGGGGCAATTCTGGAATAAAATATTACGGAGGGGAAGAGTTTCGCTGGCACATCAGCTATCACGGGGATTCTTATAGAAATGAATGGACTTCTGGATGACTTATGTTTAAAGTATGATTTTCAATACCGTCAAAAATACAGATGCTCCTTAGACTATTAAACTGATATGGAGATGCTGTACTGAGGTTATGTAGTGCACAGCACACGCCACCAGAGGGCAGTTTCTACTGGAGGAACAGGCAACTGAGCTAGGAAAGATGGCAACTGTAAGTGGTGGGGATATCGTATATAAATATATTATAAATAAAACTGATTGATCATAACAGGAATAGTAAAAAAGAAAAATACTTCTGTCCCTGTTTGAGAGTATTGCTAAATGTTTCTTTATCTTAAGATGACTTCGTCCAGCTCCAAAGCAGTTTATAACCATATGATTTAATCCAACACAGCACTCATTCATTAAAGAAAGTTAATTTAATTATTTTTTAAAAGACCACCTCATTTAATCCAATGAACCACTTAATTCAAATGAAAGATTCAATTCAAATTTAAATCATATAATATACATATATGCATATAAATAATATACATATTCAAATCGCAATAATATTGTATCATGATAATATCATATCATCTGCTATCATCATAGCCTCTGGTGATTCCCACCCTACTGCATTTAGTAAAACGCTTGATATGAAAAAGCAACTGATAACACTCTGATAACACTAATTAGGCCAGTTTGATCTGTTTCACAGGCTGTCTGGCTTTAATTTAAAATCAATGAAGATTATCTTATACATACTCATTTTAAGACTTCCCTTCTTTACTCTCTTTTCTGTGTCCCCCTCCCCCCTTAGTGTTTGGGGTGAAATACCTTCGGTCACAAGACTCCCATTTAGCCCACTGGTCATGTGGCTATGTTAAATCAGAGGCCTGGGGATGGTCATATGGCTGCAAAATCAATTGAAGCTAAACTGAAGGCCAAGTTGCCTGCAGCGTGGCCACACAGCAGCAACACTGTACACACTGTATATAAACACTTTTCAGTCCATGTTTTAGACCTCGTAAACTAAATGCTCCAAATATGTAGATTATAAAGCCTTGGGGTGTTTTTGGAAGCACATATTTCGATTATAAATACAAATCATCACGCTCATCAAGTTTTATAGAACATTAAGAGCTCTTGTCGTGCATCAGCTCTGGACTCAAAGCCCTGCTGACTCCCATCAGCCACAGGTACACACTCAGACCTGGAATGCAGTTAACTACCTACATAAACAAACACTATCTTTATCACACTCACAGATATGGGAGTAATCGCCCTGCTCAATAAGTTCGTGTCTCATTTAGCCTCTTTACACCGGCTCCCAGTATGTTTAAGAATAGATTTTACTGATTACTTTTAAGGCTCTTCATGGTCTCTTTCACAGCTATATTTCTGACCTCTTAGTGCCGTAGATGCCAGGACGTACTTTGAGGTCCTCGGGCAGCTGAGGTCTTTTGTGTCTGGAAACTAAAGGGGACAGAGCATTTGCTGCCAGGACCCTGAGGCTCTGGAACAGTCTGCCCAAGGAAATCAGTCCGGCCGAGTAAATGATCTCTTTAAAGTCCCTTCTTACAACATCCTTTTATCGGAGTCCTGTTTTCATGTCTTGTCTGTTTGATTATTGACATGTAAAGTAGGGATAGACCGATATGGATTTTTTAGGGCCGATGCCGATACCGATTTTTTTCCATCACCCTTAGCCGATGACCGATTATGAACTGCCGATTTTCTTGAGCCGATATTTGGAGCCGATACTGCTTTTGCTCCCTCAATTTACATTAAAAAAAAATGACACAATGATAACAAATATTACAGGTCTCAAGTTTAAAATAAGAAACATTTATTGAACAATAAAAAATACTAAAACAAGATGGAAAGTTGAGGTAGAACAGGTAGAATATTATTATTATTATTATTATTATTATTATACATTCAAATAAAAAAAAGAGTTCAGTGCT